TCACCGCGCGCGTGCAGGAGGCGGAGAAGGAACGCGAGGCCGCCGTGGCGGAGCTCCGCCAAAAGGCGCACGAGTGGCGGATGCGCGAGGAGCACGCGCGGGAGGAGGCCCTGCGACGACAGGCCGAGCACGCGCGCAAGACGGAGGAGGCCCTCCTCGCGCAGGAGGCCGAGCGTAGGAAGCGCACCCATTCCGACCACGCCACCGCCATCGCCGCCCTCCAGGATCGCATCGACGAGCTGCAGGCGCGCCTCGCCGACGCTCAGGCCCAGCTGCTCAAGGCCAACAATGAGGCGGCGGCGGCGAGCAAGGATGTGGTGGCACCGGTAGGAGGAGCAGGAGGAGAGGGAGAGGGAGAGAGAGGAGCCGCCGCCGCCGCACCCAGCAGCACGCAGCCGGGGGCCTTGAGCAAGGCGGCGGCGGCGGAGGAGGAGCTGGCGCGGGTGGTGGCGGAACGCGCGAGACTTGAGGAGCGGCTCAAGGACGCGCGCGGGCGGGTCATGGAGGTGATCGAGGAGAGCGGAGCGGCCGTGGCTGAGGAGCGGCGGCGCGTGAAGGAGCTCGAGGACCTCAACTTCCAACAGCGCAAGAAGATCGCCGACCTCGCCGCCCGCCTCGAGCTCTCCGCAGCCGGCTGCCCCCCATCCACCGCGACCACTGCGACGTCCAACGTGGCGGCGGAGTCGGCGGCGTCGGCGGCGTCGGCCAAGCGCGAGGAGGGGCTGCTGGCCGAGAAGGAGCTGGTGCGGCTGCGGGAGCGCACCCGGGACCTGGAGCACGCGCTCGAGCGCAAGGGCCGGCGGGAGAGCCAGATGATCGTGCAGCTGCAGCACCTCGAGATGCGCGAGCGCGAGCGCGAGGAGGCCGAGCGCCGCACGCGCGAGCACGAGGCCGTGTGCGCTGAGTGGACACGCAAGGAGGCCCTCGCCCGCCAGGAGCGGGAGCGCCTGCAGGCCGCCCTCGCCGACGAGGCCCGCCAGCGCCGCGAGGAGCGCGAGCGCGAGCGCGCCAAAACGCAGCGCATGGTGCGCGACCTCGAAACCCTCGAGGCCCAGCTCGAGCAGCTCCGCGTCCGCCAGGCCGACCACCAGCGCCTCGAGGCACGCGCCCGTGACCTCGACGCCCTGCGCGCCACGCTCGAGGCGCGCGTGGCCGACCTCGAGGCGCGGCTGCGGGGCGAGGGGCGGGCGGAGAGCGAGGTCGTGACGGACCTGCGTGCTCGCCTCGACGCTGCCGACCAGCGCCACGCCGACGTGGCGGCCCAGCTGGCGCAGGCCACCTTGGGCCGCGACAGCCTGCAGACGCAGGTGCACGCCCTCCAGCGCCAGCTCGACCATAGCACGGCCCAGGCCCGCGAGCAACTCGCCCACCTCCAGGCACGCCTTGCCGAGGTCCAGCAGCCCGCCGCCGCCGCTCCTTCTGCCCTCACCCTCACTGAGGGTGGCCCTCCGGCTGCGGCTGCGGCTGCGGCGACCGCAGGCGAGGCGCCCCCGCCGGCCCGATCCGTCTCCGACAGGTACGCGTGCATGCCCGTCAAATTTCCCCATTCTCAGAATACTCTGCCACGATCTCACCTTTACTGCCGCCGCCGCCGTGGTGATGGTGCTCCATGGTGGTTCCTTTGCAGGACCCTCGTGGGCAAGCCCTCCGCAGTACGTTCTGCCCCCTCCCTTGCAATCGTGCCACCATTTGTGGCGGGCGTGGCAGCCACCACCACCCACCAACCACCAACCACCAACCACCAACCAACAACCACCAACCACCAACCACCAACCATCAACCATCAACCACCAACCATCAACAACGGATGGGTGGGGGGGATGGGCGCGTGCGCAGTCGTTGGAATCGAAGCGCTCGATGTCGCTGGAGGAGACGGCGCGACGGATCAAGCACCTCAAGCAGGAGCTCAAAAACGCCAAGAAGGCCAAGAAGGTGCTCAAGCGCTCCTCGTCGCGCGGCTCTTCGCGCGGCTCTTCCGACAGCCTCTCCTCCTCCACGTACGCGCGCCTGTCTCCAGCAGCAGCACCGCCAGCACCACCACCTCCTCGTCCCCCTATTGCCATAGTAAGTACTATTTGGTGGCCATTGGCGGCACTTACTTACGGGCGGATCTCCGGCCACCACCAACAGGGACGACGACGAGTCCGAGCTGGAGAGCGATTTCAGCGAGACGGAGACCGAGACCGAGACCGAGACCGACGAGGCCAGCGACGCGGAAGACGGGGAAGGCGGCGCCGGCAACGCCCCGAGCAGCAGCAGTGGCGGCAAGTCCCGCAAGAAGCGGCTGGGCAAGTGGGGCCGGCTCTCTATCTCCAACGTGCGTGATCTCGCCTCCAGGGACTCCTCGTCCTCGTCCGCCAAGGAGGCGGCCGCCAGCAGCGGCGGATCGTCGGCCCTCCCGCCGGCCACCGCGTCGTCGGCGACCACGGGCAAGGCCATCACCCGCCACAAACGGTCCCTGTCCTTCCTGGCCGGCCGCAAAAAGTCCACCGACAGCGCCAGCGCCTCCTCTTCCGATGACGACTCGTACGTACCTCATCCTCGCTCTCTCTCGCTCCGTCGTGTGTCGCGCGCGTCGTGTGGCGTGTGGCGTGTCGTTGGCCGTGTCGTGTGTGTGGTGTGTGTGCAGTGGGGCGTGTGCGGTGATGGTGCGCTGCTCGCACGACCAACGACGTGTGTGTGTGCGCGCGCGCTTGTCGTGTGTGTATTGTGTGTGCATCGTGCGTGTGTCGTGTGTCGTATCGTTGGTCGTGTCGTGTCGTTGGTCGGGTGTTGACCTCCTCACTCTCTCCAACTTCGTGTGCACGTACGCGAGCGTAGGGAGGCGAGCGAACTCGACACGGAGAGCGAGAACGAAGGCGAGGCCAAGGAAAAGAAGGTCCTAACACCACAGTTCCAACCCCCCCCCCACCGCACCACTGCCACACCGCACGTGGAACGCGAGTCCGCAAGCCGGCTAACGTTGGTGGGGTGGTTGGGGTGGTTGGGTACGGCCCGCGGGGTAGCAGAAGGCGTCCGAGTCCACAGGGAGGCCGCAGCGGGGCCACCGCCGCTCGCATTCGCTGCTGGGCGGGATGACCAAGTTCCTGCCGGGAGGCGACGACGGCAAGGCGGGCGAGAAGGACGACGGCCGAGAGAAGGAGAAGGAGAAGGCGCGCGAGGAGAAGGAGCGGAAGCGGAGGGAGAAGGAGCAGAAGCGGAAGGAGCGCGAGGAGCTCATCCGGCAGCTCAAGAAGGAGGAACGCCAGGAGCGCAAGAAGGAGCGCGAGAAGAAGGGACGCACCTCCCGCAAGAAGCCCCTCAAGGGACGCGAAGGTAAACAACACACACACACACACACACGACACACCGACGCACACCGACGCACACACGCCGGATGGGCGTCACGGCCGCACGCACGTTGGGGTTAACCCCCGATATCGGGGCGGCGGCGGTGGCGGGCAGTGTTCGGGGTGGGGATCAAGGAGCTGTGCGAGAAGGACCCGACCCATCCGATCCCGCAGGTGGTCAAGCTCATCGCCGAGTACCTCGAGTCCAGCGGCGGTACGTACCCGACCAGCCACCACCAGCCACCAGCACGACCACCACCTGCCCACTCACCACCCAAGGAGAGCCTCCCCCCCAGCGGCATTGGGCGGCGGCGGCGGCGGCGGCAGCAGCAGCACGGAGCAAGAGATGGGCTCGCTCTGACCAGAATGGGACCGGCGGCGGTGATGCGTATGGCGTGTGTGCGTGTGGCGGGTGGGTGGGTGGGTGGGTGCAGCCATGGAGGTGGAGGGCCTGTTCCGGGTGCCCGGCCAGAGCATGATCATGAGCCGCCTCAAGGACGACTTCGACGCCGCCGGTACGCCACCCTCCACCTCACCCGACGCAGTACTCGCTTTATTTTAGTTGTTTTTATTTTTGTTCTGATCCCGTGTGTGTGGTGCGCCACCACCACCAGGACTGGGCAACGAGGCCGCCGTGGCGGCCTCCTTCCTTGACTACGACTCTCACGACGTGGCCGGACTCCTCAAGCTCTTCCTCAAGGTTAACCTCCGCTTTTTCTCTATGTGTGTATCGTGTGTGTGTCGTGTGTGCCGTGTGTGGTGTGTGCCGTGTGTGCCGTGTGTCGTGTGTGCCGTGTGTGTGTCTATGTGTGTGTGTCGTGTGTATCTATGCATGTAGGTGAACATGCTACTTATCTCCTCTCACGTTTGAAACGTCTGGCGCACCGCATCAGATGCTGCCCGAACCGGTGATGACGTACGCCCTCTACGACGATTTCGTGAGGCTCCAAGGTGTGTTGGTTCACCTCTTGTCGTCGTTTGCTGCTCCTTTCCCCTCCTGCGGCGCGCGCTCATGCGAATGGTCGGTTGGTTGCAGTGGAGTTCGAGAAGAAGGGCGGAGATGACACGGCCAGCGTCAAGGCCGAACACCTGGCCAACTTTGTGGCCCTCCTCCGGTGCGTGCTCACCCCACCCCACCTCCACCACCACCACCACCACCAAAGGCCGCACCTCCGCAACCAATCGCGCGCGAGGGTGGTGCCCGTTGGCTCATGAGGTATCACTTTTCGGCCGCGCAGGAAGCTGCCGCCCGACAACCTGCGGTTCTTCCTGTTCCTCGCCAAGTTCCTCCACAAAGTGTCCCTCGTCTCGGTACCCTCTTCTACTCCCCGACCCTGCGTGTGTCGTGTGTCGTGTGTGAGTGTCGTGTGTGTCCGATGCTCACGATCCTTCCTTCTTCCTTCCTCCATTCCATTTTGTGGTCGTGTGCAGGAGAAGAACAAGATGAGCGCCGGCAACCTGGCCATCGTGTTCGCGCCCAATGTGCTGTGCCCCGCCACGCCCGATCTCAACTACCAGATGCGCATGCCCACCCTCTCGTACGCGCCCCTCTGCCACCTTCCCCAACCCGCGGCCTCCTCCTCCTCTTCGCCCTTCTCCTGCCCTCCACTCGTGGGCGGGGGGCTGATGCTTCACACGTGCAGGGCGCTGGTGGAGTTCGCGATCGCGCATGCCTATGCGCTCGCCATGCACCTCGACAACACCGCCAAGCCCAAGCCAGCCGCCCCGGTCATCGCTTCGTGAGCGTAGACCTACGATTGACGATTTTATTTATTTTTACCTGTATTTTTTTTAAGTTATTGGCAAAGGGCCGGAGGAACAGAAATAATAATAATAATAATAAAGATTTACAACAAACTCGAAAACTTTCCCGGTCACGGTGTGTACGCGTGCAGCATCAGCACGAGCAGGCGGGAGGTGCCTCGGAGGGTGTGATGACATCGCCGCCGCCGCCGCCGCCCAGTGGCACTTCGCCCCTGCGACACACCACCACGGTCCAACCACAGCGTCAGTCCAGCACTCTGGACTCAGAGGTCCAGGAGTGGAGTGGTCCCTCCTTCGCCCAGAGAGAGAGAGAGAGCAGGTGGCGTGGCCTGGTGATGGTGGTGATGCGTACCCGGCTCCGCGTTTCACGAAATCGTACACGATGGTATCAAACAGGTCCTCCACTGAGTATCCCTTCTTCGACGACGTCTCAAACCTGCTCCTCCCCCCACCACCACCAGCCACCGCCGGTCATTATATTAGCCCAACCCAGATCGGCGCGTGTGCCCACGTCACATGTGGGCAAGGGATAAGGAGGGCGTCGAACACTTGGGCGTTGATCTGGCGGGCATAGTCTGCCACTTCAGATGCCTCCACTCCTCGCGGAACCCCCTCCTCCAAGAGATCGGCTTTCGTGCCCACTATATACCTGTGTGCCCCCCCCCCCATCACACGACACACACGACGCACACGACGCACACGACATCAGGAGGGGAGGGGAACGCAACACGACACGGATGAATGGAGGAGTGGAAAAAGAAGGGAGGCGTACAGAGCGCATTCTTTCTCGAAGGAGAGGAGTTCGTTGATCCAAAACTTGACCTTGGGCCACGTCTCCGCTCGCGTGAGGTCGTAGCACACGCACGCCGCCCGGGCCGCCCGGTAGTAGAGCCGGCTCATTGCTTCAAAGCGCTCTGCAGAGTGCCAGCACCCAACACCGCACGCACCACACCACACACCACGACGATGACATCGGGCGTGAGCAGCAGCAGCACGGCGTGCAACAAGCGCATGAGGAAGAGCGAGGGACGGGGCAGGGAGCGCGTACCGGCTCCGGCCGTATCCCTTTTCATGGGGCGGCGATAGGTGCGCGAACAATCGTCAACGCATGAGGTGAGCAACATGGCCACGTCGCACGGACGCCATCCACGACTGACGAAATGGAGTTGGCACGTACCACACGCCCACCGTCAGCGGACGGTCTCCTACGTAGAGCTTCTTCGCCCCAAAGGCAGCCCCCACAGTCTACGCTCTCCGCCCAAGTGTAGCAGCAGCAGCAGCAGCAGAGTCAGTAGGACGGTGGGGGGCACACGTCCAGCCAGAGAGTGGTGGTCTCTACGTACGGGGGAGATGGTGTCTTGGTATTTGCCATTGAGGTATCGGTCCACCAGGCAGGTCTTGCCCACGTCGCTTTGCCCTGCAACACCCGCAGGGGGGGGGCACAAATGCACCACCATATCGTTATCAATGCCTCAGGATGTTATTATTTTTTATTTCCCTCTCCCTTTCTGCAGGGTGCATACCCAAGAGGACCACCTTGAGGTCCACGCTGGCCATCGCGGTGCCGTTTCTTCTTCCCGTCAGCCCCTCTTGTTCTCTTTTTGTCGGGCTTTTTGGAATTCCGGCAAACAAATTCCAGGCGTGGTTCTCCGAACACTTTCCAGATTTCAAAGGTGGAAAGTGATTCGGGAGAGGTTCCAGACAGTATCGTCAGAAGTCGACAAAATAGTGTGACAGTTGCGTGCCAGCGAGAGATCCTATCCCGACCACAACACGCATCTGGTCGCACTCACCTTCTTTACCTTCCCTCCTGCACTTGAAGCCGCCCTACTCGCCCAAAGCCACACGCGTTGCGTTTTCGTAACCTTTCTGCCAAGTAGCCGATCATCACCTCTCAGTGACTCTTTTTTTCTCTGGAACGCGAACCCCATCCCAGCCTCTGAATTGCTGAGACTCGCCCGCACTCCACTGTAGAGCAGTCAGCCTCTACAACACCGACTCGAGCGTGTCGAGAGAATGGAAAAAGGGAAGATGGCGACCAATTCATTTTCGCGCCTGGTAGGGACCCCGCCGACATCGGCTTTCGTCGCCACCACCGCTTCGTGTGCGGGAACCACGTCGCCTGCCACTACGACCACGACCGCTTCGTCGCCACCATCTTCGCCCGGACACGGCGCGACGTCGTCCAGCTCGCTCTTCGTGCACAGCCCGAGCGTAATTTGTTCTTCGCATCACCGGTCGGCCACGCCACTCGCCTTCATGTGCCCCGGGCCCCTCACCTCCTCGTCTTCCTCTTCCTCGGCCTACTCTCTCTTCTCGTCGGGCGGGAGCAGCCTCTTCCACTCGCGGCTCTTCGCGTCGCCCTCTCCCGTCGCCCGCCTCTACGCCTCCCCCGCTTCGGCCCGACGCTTCGCCGACGGCGCTGAGCTCGCCGACGACGCCTGGGACTCTCCCCGTGCCGGTAATCCGCCTTCTCCCCCGCAAACAATTCAATTAATGCCTTAATGCATTATTCGTTTTTTATTTTCCAGTAATCAAATATGGTGTTTATTATTCAACATCTTTAATTGTTCGTTCAGAGCACGCGAAGACCTTGCGGCTGGCGTCGGGTGCCCACATGATCCCCCATCCCGAGAAGCGACACAAGGTATGATCCCCTCTTTTTCCTCTCCTCCACACAATGTGTGCCGTGTCGTGTGTCGTGTGTGCGCTATTGCGCTACTATAATGCCGTAGCAGCTCCTGACTACAAAGTGGTGTGTGCCGCGCAGGGTGGCGAGGATGCCTACTTCCTGAGCGAGGACGGGCAGGTGGTGGGCGTCGCAGACGGCGTGGGCGGCTGGGCGCTCTCCGGCATCGACTCGGGTCTCTACTCCAAGAGCCTCATGGCCGGTACCGTGCCCTCTCCCCTTTCGTTTCCTCTCTTTTTTCGCATTCTCTCTTCTCCTCTCGCGGCCTCGCATGCTCACTGTGTGTGTTGTGTGTTGTGTGTTGTGTGTGGTCAATTTGTAGAGGCCAAGAAGGCGGTGGAGGCGGCGAAGAAGGCAGGCGTGCAGCCCACCCGAGCGACGGACATCATGCAGAAGGCCTACGACCACACCAAGCACCTCGTCGGGTCGTCCACGGCCGTGGTACGCGTTCGCGTGTTTTTCCCTTTTCTCGGGTGGTGTACTAGACGCTGACCGTGCGTGTGTCGTATGTGCGCCGTGCGTGTGACCGACGACATTCACATCATGCCATCATGCCATGATGTGTGCACACATTCACATTCACATTCACATCAGATCCTGATGGCGGAGGGCCAATCGGTCAAGTACTCAAACCTGGGGGATTCGGGGTTCATGGTGATCCGCGGGGACAAGGTGGCGTTCCGCACGCGGGAGCAGACGCACGCGTTCAACACGCCCTACCAGATCGGTACGGGCGGCGACCACCCGACGGACGCCGAGGAGGGGCGCGTGGCGGTGGAGGAGGGCGACATCATCGTGCTGGGCACGGACGGCCTGTTCGACAACCTCTTCGACGACCAGATCGTGGAGATCGTCAAGCAGGGCCGGCAGGAGAAGCGCGACGCCGACGAGGTGGCCGAGATGATCGCGCGACGGGCGCACAAGGCCGGCAGCCGGACCACGGGCGAGATGCCCTTTGGCAAGAACGCGCGCACCTACGGCTACCAGTACCAGGGCGGCAAGATGGACGACATCACCGTCGTCGTCTCCTTCGTCTCCTCCTCGCCCTCGTCCTCGCCCTCCGCGCCCATCTCGCCGCCCTCCTCGCCGCAGCAGAAGGCCAAGTTTTGAAGTTTACTACTCCACGAAGACCATATTGGAACGGACGACGACGACGACGAGGTGGAGGACTGCTCCAGCGGCGCTGCTGGGGTGGTGTGATGATTTGTACACACGACACGACACGACACGCACGGTGTGCGTGGGACGGACCGGACGAGCGAGAGGAGAGGTGCCGCCCTCCTACCATATGGTACGGGGGACGGTGATGCTGGATGTTTCCTTCCTCCGTTAATATAGAGATTTTTCGTCCATACCACCTCTTCGCACTCTGCCACTCAGTCGCCTCCGCCTGGCCGTCGCGTGGGGTAGTCAGCAAGTGGCGCACGAGCACCAGATGTGCGTGGTCGCGACTCCTCTGCGCCCGTTGTCTATGTGTGGTGGATGAGCTGCACCTCCACGTGTGGTGGTGGTGGTTGGGGGGGGGTGGCCGTACCGCAGCAGCGGAGGTGGTGAGGGCAGCAGCGCTTCGTGCCAAGCACAGGTCGAGGAGGGACGGCACGGCAGGCGGCCGGCGATCGCCTTCAGGGATGGTGTGGGCGGTGTCGGATGCCGCACCGCCACCGCCGCCGCTGGGGTGCTGCTGCATAAGTGGTGTGCTGGTGGTTTCTTGCGGTGATAGAGATAGTAAGCCGTTTGTTTATGTTTCCGCGGCCGGCCGGGCTTTTCACTGATTGGAGGAAAGTGAGAGAACACGAGCGTCGTGCGCACTAGTGGAACCAAGCGAGTGAGGTGGCGGTGGCGAGCACGAGGGCCGCCGTTTCGACGCGCAGGCGATTGGGGCCGAGGGACACCCCGAACGCGCCCGCCTTGCGCAGCAGCTCCTTCTCCGCGTTCGTGAAGTCCCCCTCCGGCCCCACCAACAGCACCACCTCCTGCACGCCATCGCCATCGCCATCGCCATCGCCATCGCCATCGCCATCGCCATCGCCATCGCCATCGCCATCGCCATCGCCATCAAGGCCGTCGCGCCACCGAAGCCATGCACGCGTCAGTGCCCCCAAGACCGGAAGGGCGTGGACAGAGAGCTCTGGAAGGTGCACCTGGGCGGGCTTGTGGGTGGCGAGGAAGGAAAAGAGGGGCGCGGGAGGAGCGGCCAGGTCCCCCGGCATGCAGCCCCACAGCAGCGTCGTGTTGGCCAACCCTCCGCCCTCTGTGCCCTCACACACGCGCCCACGACCCCCCCCCCATTCCAAGCGCAAGCAGAAGAACAAAGAAGAGGAAGGTGTGTGTGTTGTGTGTGTGGTGAGGAGGGGGGGGGAAGAAAGAGAGAGAGAGAGAGAGAACGGGAAAGGGGAGGGAGAGGGTGGGTACGATGGTCGAGATCGCGCATGAACTGTGCCACGGACACGGGGGGTGCGATCTCGGGAATGTGTAATCGCAGACTCTGCTTGCTCGACTCCACTGCGCGGTCAGACCATCGACAGACACACGATTAAGCCACCCTGTCGTGTTGTGTATCGTGTTGTGGGGGGAGTGCCGTACGGGCCATCTGGCGCCACCGCTGGAGGCGGCCATCGCCGGGCAGGAGGACGGACTTGGTGGCGAGGAGGGGCTGCACGCGGTGGGCGCCCACCTCCGTCAGCTTCTCCACCACCCAGTCCGCTCGGCTTCCCTTGGGCATCGCCACCGCCACCGTCAGCCGCCGTTGCCCTTGCCCTTGCCCCTCCTCCTTCTCCTTCTCCTTCTCCTCCTTGTCGCCTTGTTGTGGGCCTTCTCCTTCGGTCCCGTTGTTGTACTCCTCGCCGCGAGTAGCAGCGCGTAGCGACTCGAGCTCCTTCTCCTCGTCATCACCGTAATTGTCATCGTCTTCGCCGTCAGAGTGCTGCTCGCTGCGCGTAGAGGCGGAAGTAGAGGAGGAAGAAGTAGTGGTGGAGGGGGAGGAAGAGAGTACGCGCAGGGTGGCCTGGTGGCGCGAGGCCTGCACGACGGTGGCGGTGGCGAGGGCGCCCCGCCCGTCGAAGAGCTGCACGGCCTCGCCGGGACGTGGTCGCCGCACCAGCAGGTGCCGCCCCTCTCGTCCGCCCACCACCAGTGGCGCCCCTCCGCCCCCTGCCTCTGCCGCCACCGCCGCAGTGGTGGCTGTTGCCTCGCGCGTCACCACCACCAGCTGGCCCACAGCCGGCAGGCGCCCCACCCACACCCGCCCCACCCCGCTGCTGCCTACGGCGCTCTTCATCAAAAAGAAGAAGAGGACGCTGCCTCCTCACGGTTGCGCCTTTTTTCTGGCGACACGTACGGAGTTGCGGCTGCCAAGAAAGAGAGAGGGGGCTCTTCGTTCTCTGCAACGTGGCGCAAGTAAAGAAGGAAGAAAAGATGGACGAAGCGGACAGCAGCAGCAGCAGCAGCAGCACCAATAATTACAACAACACAACACACGCGGCGGCGGCGGTGGCACCGCGGGCGAGCATAGCGTCAACAGCAGAGGAAGTCAGGGCGCAGGTACCCGGTGAGGCCGACGAAACTACTGCTGCGGCGTCGTCGTCGGGGGGGCTGGTGGTGGGGCGAGGCCGTGGAGGAGGCCCTCACGTGCCCCATCTGCGTGGACGCGCTGCGCGACGCCGTCGAGACGCCCTGCTGCCACGCCACCTACTGCCGGTACGTGGCCACCTGGTCCCCTCCCCACAACCACCACCAATTCGCCACTTGGGCACCGACTCTCGAGAGCTGGGCTGGGTGTGTCGTGTGTGTCGTGTCGTGTGTCGTGTGGCGTGCAGGGCGTGCATCGAGGCGTGGCTGGAGCGGCGGCGCGGGCACGGATGTCCCGGGTGCCGGGCGGCCATGGAGGCGAGCGGGCTGCGGCGGTGTCTGCCCATCCAGCGGCTGGTGGACCTCCTCCCAGCCGAGTGCCCCAACGTGCCCTGCCGCGCTCCTTACCTCACCCGCGGTGCCCACCCCTCTCTTTTCATTTCTCATTCATTTCTCCTGCATTTCTGTTCTCTGCTGTAGGTGCGCCCACTCACTGGCCATCGGCTCTGGCGGGCGGGCGGGCGGGCGGGCGGTGGTGGATGGCTGGGTGGCTGGTGGATGGCTGGGTGGCTGGTGGGGTGGGTGCAGGGTGCATGAAGGAGCACATGGCCAAGTGCGAGTTCGCGCCCGTCGTGTGCCCCTACGACTCGCGATGCCCGACCTACCTCCGCGGCGAGTGGAACGAAAAGGTACCTACGTTATAATATGATCCACACATATGCACATGGCCGACATGCCATTTAGAAATGGGCCGTGCCGATGGATTGACGTGGCTGGCTGGCTGGCTGGCTGGCTGGGTGGGGCTGCAGCATCAAGCGACGGGGGTGCTGCTGGTGCAGAGCGTGGACGCCTTCAAGTGCGTGTGGATGGACCAGGGCACCGGCAGCAAGATGGACGGCTCCGTCTTTCGGCCCCTCACGCCCGAAGGCACGCGCACGCGTACCCTCTCGTCGCGTGGACAACTGCTGACGGTGATGAGAGGCGTGTCGTGTGTGTCGTGTGTGTCGTGTGCGTCGTGTCGTGTGTGCGGCGAGCAGGGTGGTCGCCCGTGGGGTACTTCTTCCGCCCGCGCCACTCGGAGGCCCTGCGGGAGAAGGTGGAGGTGTTCGCCCTCGCCGAGAAGGTGCCCAACGGCACCTACCTGCGACCCGTACGCCCCCCCCCCACCCTCCTCTTCTGCCGCTGCTGTACCACCGGCCAGTGAGAGGTGGTCGGCTGACGTCGCGGGCCTCGTGGCAGCCCACGGACTTCGAGCTCATCTGGAACGACAAGAAGACGGGAGCCAAGCGCCATTGCAGCATCTGGCGACCCATCCCGCCACCCGGTACGCCCCGAGCTTGTGTAGTCTTTGCTGTGCAAATCGTTCTGTGCGTGTGCGTGTGCGTGTGCTGTGTTGTGTCCCTCACACGCGTGCGTGCGTAGGATTCGTGGCGTTGGGGTACGTGGTGACGCCGCACCACAACAAGCCGACCCTGGAGGCCATCACGTGCGTGCACCACTCGTGCGTGCGCGCGTGCTCTGTGTCGCCCACCCGCAACTGGAGCGACGCCGGGTCGGGCGGCGCCTACGACGTCACCGTCTGGGCTCTCGACGGGGCGGCGGGCAAGAGCGCTGACGGTCGCTCGTTCTACCTGGGCGTGGACTGCGCGGCGCCGGGCTACACGCGGCCGAGCCATCCGGTATACTGCCTGGACACGCAGGCCATCGCCGCACAGCCCATCGCCACCAGCCCAGGGCCAGCCCTCTCCCCGCGCACGCCGCCCACGCCGCCCACGCCGCCCCCGCGCGATCGCGCCCTCACCCTGGGCGGCGGCGGCGGCGATTAACAGAAGATAGCTCCCCACAGGCGACCTTGTGCACATAGACCGTCATAGAGATGTATTTAGAGATGTATTACCCCTTCTACACACGTACGCCGGCTTGCTGTGCGCCAGGGAGCAAGGGGGAGGGTTCACGATGCGCGCGTGGGCCGGGCATCGGAGCTCCATTCGGGCACGTCGCCGGTGACGCCCTGCAGCCACCGGTAGGCCGCCACCAGCTGGGCCGGCTTCATCTTGAGGTACTCGTTGGCCTTCTTCACCCAGCTGTGTGTGTCGCGTGTGTCGTGTGTGTCGTGTGTGTCGTGTGTGCCGTGTGTGTCGTGTGACCACAAAACAAAAACCCCGTGTCCGCCACAGCGCCGATGGTGGTTGAGGTGGTCAGTCAACATGCACGGCTAGCCGCAACCGGCACGGGCGGGTGCACCTGTCGGGAGCGTCGGGGGCCGTGAGGTGTGGGTAGTGCAGCTCCAGCACCGATCGGTCCGTCACCACCTGCCGGTACCTGAGCGCACACACCGCCATCGCCCATGTGTCAGGCGGTGGCCATTTTCGTGAGGAAAGATGCGGTGGTGTTCCATCGGATGTAAGCGCGTACCATTCGTAGGGGAGGTAGGCGAGAGTAGACACCACGGGCGCGGCCCAGTAGTTCCGCACGCCCTGCCCAATGAGGGCGCCCACGTTGACCTGCCCGAAACGCTTCGACATGTGCGCCAGCAGGCCACCCCCTTCTGTGCCATCTTCAACTGCCTGAACAAAGAAAAGAAGAAAAAGGGAAGAAAATGGCTCTTTCTTTTCTGCTTGTTTCGTCACTTTTGCTGCTCGCGCTGCCTCCTCCTTCTTCTTCGATGATACCGTGCAGACTGGCAGACTGGCATCACACCCAAGTCTACTGCTGGGCAGCCTCGAACTTGTCGTCCAAGAACTGAACAACAACAACAACAACAACAACAACAACAACAACAACAACCAGAAATAACGACAATTACCCAACAGTCAGTGATCATTGTTGCGTGAGGCCACGATTGTTGTCGGAGTACTTGTACCTTGAACACAGACTCCACGCAGCAGCCGCTGGTCCATTCGTGCTTGGGGTGACCTGCAAGGAAACACGAACAACAACGCCAACAAACGTTGAAGTACATGGAACAAACACGGACTCGCGAGAGAGAGAGAGAGAGGGAACAGGAGGTCATCGGTACCGGCAGATACGCACGGGCAACCATCCTCTCCCGAGCCACGCTCCGGGGCGTCGAGCGGCTTGTTGGACTTGACCTGCGCTCGCCAAAAAAGAGAGAAGTAAAAGAGAGAAGAAGAAGAAGAAGAAGAGATGAGTGACCATCAAGCCCCCGCCATCAACCAGACGACCCCCTCCCCACCAACAAATGTGGGCGCGTACCCAGTTGACGGCGTTCTTCTTGATGAACTGGCGCACGGGGACGGGGTCGCGGCCGGACACCCAGTGCACGGAATCCGTGAAGGCCACGCCCACGCAGCGGGGCATCACCTCCTCCCCTGCGCTCTCACGATTGAGTGTCGTGGTGTGTGTGTGTGTGTGTTGTGTGTGTGCGTGTCGTGGGTCATGTGTTGGCGCCGTACCCCTTTCGCGGAGGAGGTCCATCGTGCAGATGCCGCCGGCCGAGTGTGCGATGATCGCAACGCGGGAGGCCGCGGCCTTGGCGCAGAAGTGGTCCCACACGTAGGTCGTGTGCTTCGACGGCGTCTCACCTTGGCCCCCCCGGGTCAGTCATTCAGCCGCGCGCGCGAACAAAGGTGTGTTGTGTGTTGTGTTGTGTGTCGTTGCGTGGCGACGTACTGCCGGGGATCTTGATGAGGTGCTTGATGGGGCGCATGACCTTGGCCGTGGAGAGGAAGGCCTCGCGGGTCTTGAACCAGGCCTCGTCGTCGTCGGCGCCCGGCTTGGTCCCGGCGTTCTGGTTGGGGTTGAACACCACCACGCCCCAGCCCCGCTCGGCGCACTTGCGCAGGTACGGGAAGATGGTACCCACCTCCAGCGAGTCGTTGATGCACAACGCACGCGCCCACTGGCCCGGCCTGTTTTGCCACCGCACACGCACGACACGACACGACACACAAGATGACACACGTGAGATGGGCCAAGGAGTGCGGGTGGCGGGTGGCGGGTGGTACCGGACGGCGCCGGAGCCCTGGATGAGGAGGATGAGCTTTTCGGCCTGGAGGGCGCCCGGCGTGAGGAAGATGTTGGTGCGGGGCACGTCCGGGTTGTCCACGTCGAGGGGCAGGATCACCTCCTCCATGTTGTGCTCCTTCTTCAGCAGGTTCTGCTCCGCCCCCACATATGTGCACCCCCCCCATCTCGCCATCAATACTCGACCAGCAAACAGTATGCGTGCGCGGTGGTGCGTGTGCGTGCGCGGTGGTGCGTGTGCGTGCGCGTGCGCGGTGGTGCGTGTGCGTGTGCGTGTGCGTGTGCGTGTGCGTGCGGGAACGCCACCTGGATGTGCTCCACGATAAAGTCGCCGAGCGCGTCGTAGTGCATTTGGTTGACCCAGTGAAACTGCATTGGCCCCGCCCGCACACGCTGACATCAGCCCCACGATCCAAATCACAGGAGGAGGAGGAAACGAAGAAAGAGAAAGAAAGAGAGAAAGACAGAAGAAGCAAGAAAAGGAGCACCTTGTCGCCGTTGATGGTGTTGCGGAGGACGCCATGGTCGTCGTAGGCGTAGTTGAAGTCCTGGAAGCAGGTGGCTTTCTCGGGCACCGTCTTCCACACGGCCTCGTAGTTCTCCAAGGTCTTGGCCGACGCACACTGCTCATTCATCGCGCCGCGCGTGCCGGGTGTGCCGTTGAGTGAAACGCAAAGCAGCAGCAGCAGCAGCAGCGCGGGAGGAGGAGGCGGTGGCACCTTGCGCCAGTCTTCGTCGGAGAGACGTTGACCGCACTTGGGGTAGGGACACACAATGTCAAGGAAGCCCTTCCTCTTCTCGTCGAACTCTGCATGCGCGCACACGACACACGACACACGACACACGACACACGACACACGACACACACACAAGAGCCACGTTTGGGGTCAGCACACGTCTATCCACATATATCCCAGGGCGGGTCATGTGTACCGGTGGCCAAGTACTTCTCCCAGCAGGTCTGCCCACGACACGCGTTAGAAATCATTTATTTTCTTTTCTTTTATTTATATAAATTTATATTCTGTTCATTGCGTGCACTGAAAAGTGATTTAGTTATTTTATTATTTTGTTGTTTATCGCGAGGGGGTACCTTGCAGAGAGCGTGGTCGCAGGCGTGGGAGGACAGGAGGGCGTCGGCGCCGAACTTCTCGAGGCACACCGCACACTCGCGCTGCGGTTGCTCTTCCTCGCCCGCGCGCTGCTCTTCCTCCACCTTCTGCGCCGCTTCCTGTCGTTGTGTTGTCAAGGTAAGATGAGGCGACGACTGAGTGCTAAGAAAAGGAGAGCAACTACCGCACGTACCGCCTTGTTGTGCTCCCCTTCCATTTGTCCTTTGGCTTTTTGCTGTTCACGGCTATCAAAAAGAAAAGGTGTTTTTCTTCTTTGTTGGCTGGATTTGCTGTCGACCTACCAAAAAATAAAAATAAAAAAATGACCAGGTAAAGGAGTGAATGCTGTATTGATGCAAGGAGTGAGAAAGGGGAGTGATAGAAAGAAGGAACGATGGCAACGGTGTGAGCAGGTCCGTCGAGAGTAGTCGACGCCAACGACTCAAAAGGGGGGTGCCAGCCAGGCCTCAGAGCGCGGTCGGCGAAGGATCCAACAAGGGATCGGCGGCTGCGGCACGAGGCATCCGGCGGCAGTTTCGGGTGAGGCGCCCAAAGCCCACCAGCCGCCAGTGGTCCTTCCCCGCGTGTCTGCTGAACGCCACCCTCTGGTCCTCCCTGATTGCTCCAAGTCAGCGTTCATGTCCACCACCCGACACACGACACGACCAACACACGAAGAAGTACCGAGCGCAGATGGGCATGTGGGTGAGCTTGATGATGAGGCGGTGGGTCTTGGCTTTGACGGCGGTGACGACGCCGACGGCCGAATTGCCGCCGACGTGGAGGAGCACGTTCTCCTTGGCCTTCATCTCCTCGACCTTCTCGCCCTCAGCGGTGCCGATGAGGCGACGGAAGAGGCGGTACTTGACCTCCACCTCCTGGAACACCTCCGGCAGGCTGCCCTCCACGCCCACCACCTGCCCCACCAGCCCGTCGTTCTTGCCCAGCGACGGATCTGAAACCAACCAACCAAACAACCAACCAACCATGGTTAGTTGCGTGTTGCGTGTTGCGACCCGAGGGGGGGGGCGTACCGAGCAGGGTACCGACGCCGATGAGTCCTCCGGGGATGGCGTGGGTGAGGGGGTTGGTGTCGGACAAGAGCGAAACGACCCGGGAGTAGAGGGGCTGGTAGTAGCGGCTGCCGTCCTCTTTGGCCCGGATGAGGCCCGGCCTGATCTCGATGCGCTGCCCGATCCGGAGGAGTCCGCTCTCCAGCACCCCGCCCATCACCGCCCCCTTGAGCTCCTCGAACGGAGCGCCCGGCTTGTTCACGTCAAACGAGCGAATGACCTGATATGTGTGGGTGCCCGTTTCCGTTAAGGCTACCGATCGGAGCGTGTGCGGTGGCGTGCGTGTGCCGTGGAGTGTGTATCGTGCGTACGTTGAGGAGCGGGGGGAGGGAGAGGTTGTGTTCGGGTTCGGGAACCTGCTCGACTATGTACTGGCACACCACGTCCACGTTGTACCCCAACTGCGCCGAGATCGGGATCACCGGCGAACGCTGAAAGAGAGAGAGAGAGAGAGAAGAGAGTTGGTTATTATCACGTCAGCCAATATGAACTGATATATCGTGATGAGATATATATATCAACATCTGGCAGAGTCGAGCATAAATATTAAGTAAGGTACCTCAGCTCCGGTGCCCTGGGTGAAGGTGCGGATGTCGAGGTAGCTCTTGCGGGCGTCTTCCTCCGAGACGAGGTCGACCTTGTTCTGGATGACGACGTAGCGCCCCAGGTTCATGAGGTCGGCCGCGGCCAGGTGCTCGGCCGTCTGAGGCCGCGGGCACTCCTCGTTGGCCGCCACGACCAGCACCGCCGCGTCCATCGCGCTAGCGGCGTTCAACATCACCGCTGTGTGCGTGTGCGGTTGTGCGTGCGCGTGCGCGTTGAGCTGACGTCAGTGTTGTGAAGTTGAAAGCGGATGACTCATTCGAGGGAGAGCGTACACATGAGCATCTCGTGGCCGGGACAGTCGACGAAGCTGACGTGGCGCGCGAGGGTCATAGTGCTACCGCAGTGGCATCGGGGCCTGCCCTTGGTGTTGCTCGCCATCGATGTGTAGCACGCCGGTTTGGGACACTCGCCGTCGTCGCACCGGTAGATCTTGGCGTTGGCATAGCCTGCATCATCATAAGAAAAGAGTGTAAGTGTCGCCATCGAGCTGGATGAGACATACAATCACCACAAACATGACAATTGCTGTCGTACCGAGCTTGATGGTCATGTTGCGGGCCTGCTCTTTGGAATGGCGCGTCGTCTTCACGTTCGTGAGCCTGCCTACCAGCGTGGACTTACCTGGTGGGTGGTGGTGATTGATTGTGACAGCCAACGACATTATCACTCATGGTCAGCTCCATCAGCCCTGTTTTTATGAACAATTCATTGGGGGGCACGGTACCGTGAGAGACGTGGCCAAGGGCGCCGATGGTGAGGGTGGGCTGGAGTTCGCTGAGCTGTCTCCTGAATTCGGCCGCGTCCTGATCACGGAGACTGCTCGGGGCCCACGGCGACGAGGCCGCGGGCGGCGCTGGTGGGGTCGAAGGCTCCATCTTGAGACAGGGCTCGGGCTCGTTGTTGGTCGAGAAGGTCGATGAAGGGGTGCTGCCAGTAGTGGTGGTCTGAATGGAACTCATGAAGATTGTTGTTGCGGGTACGGTCGATAGCGAGTGGCTCCGTTTCGGTGGAAAAAGTGAGCGAGTTGTAGTTGATGTTGTTGCTGATAAAGCGAGTAGCGGTGGGGTAGCAGTTGATGGTAGTGGCGGTGGTGAAGGTGACAGGGGACGACATGTTGGACTTTGTGATGGTGGGTTTGGGTTCAAGTTGGGAGTTGATGAACTTGTGTGGACAAGTGTAGTGAGTTAGTACATTGGGGGCTCTCTACGGGGGTTCTACTGGGGTTCTGGGATGTGGTTGTGGTGAGGAGGAGAGGAAAAAGAGAGCAAGGAGACCAGGACCGCCTTTTGTGCCTTTCCCTTCGCGCCATGCCTCCTGAGAAAAAAGACGAAACATTTGGCGATTGCTGAGAAATAGAGAGGAAGAAAACTCACCATTTGGCTTTGGTCGGATTCGTGCCCCACCTCGCGATTCCAGGGTGTCTGCGTTCTGCCTCTTGCTGATCAACTTCATCTTCAGGTCATGCGATATCTATTGTCGAATAGAAATCAATCCTTCACGTGGCAAGTGAAGGCAGAACAAAAAGTACGAGGCCCACCAGATCAGCAGGCGGGCTCGGCCTCCTTGTCGGGGGTGGCCTTTGCCTCTCGCCGGTGGTTCTCCCTCTCCCGCTCCTCCCTCGCCGCCCTGATGGGCACCAGGTCCTCGATCTCCAGCGGATACTCCCCGCTGAAGCACGCATTGCAGTGGCCGTCTGCGTGCGTGTGCGTGTGTGTGCGTGTGCGTGTGCGGTGGTGCGTGTGCGTGTGGTTAGCGGCCAGTAGGGCTTGAAGAGAATAACAATATCCGTGGGCGCGCACCCTTATCCTGGTCGACGACGCCCTCGCGGACCACCTGCATCATGCCCTCGATGGAGAGGTAGCCCAGGGAGTCGGCGCCAATGTGGTCGCGGATTTGCTCCACCGTGTGGTTGTGGCCGATCAACTCCTGCACAACCCCAGGAACCAGCACACGTGTGTTTAACACTCCCAAGCACGATGACGCGACAACGCAACACAACAGTGCGAGCGAACCTCATAGGTGGACATGTCGACGCCCATGAAGCACGGGTGCTGGACGGGAGGCGAGGAGATGCGCACGTGGATGGCCCTGCACGCGAGAAATTGTGAGAATTGTACGCATGAATGGGTGTCGTTGGTCGTGTGCGTGTGCGGTGTGTGCGGGGTGTGTGCGCGTGTGCGTGTGCGTGTGATCATACTTGGGGTTGGCTTGTCGGATCATGGCGATGAGGTGGCTGAGGGTGTTGCCTCGCACGATGGAGTCGTCGATGATGACCACGCTCTTGTCGCGCAGGTTCTGCACCAGCGGATTGAACTTGAGCCCGATCGTGCGCTGCCTCTGCGCTTGGTCCGGCTGCATATTCAAGAAGGGAAGTTAGAGAGACGACACACCACACACGCCGCACACACGTCGGAGAGGTGCGAGTGCGTACCGCGATGAAGGTCCGGCCGATGTATCGGTTCTTGGTGAGGCCCTCGGTGAAGGGGAGGCCCGACTCGAGGGCGTAGCCGATGGCCGCCGGGGTCGAGCTGTCGGGCACGCCGATCACTAAAGAAGAAGGCCAAGAAATGAGGTGTGTGTCGTGTGTGTCGTGTGTGTCGTGTGTGTCGTGTGATTTGTACCGATGTCAGCGTCGGGGGCGGGGTGTTCGCGGGCGAGCTGTCGGCCTAGGTCCTGCCTCACGCTGTGCACCAAGAGTCGACCGCCGTCGAGCAGCGAATCCGGACGCGAGAAGTACACGTACTCGAACACGCACAGCGCGGTCTGTCCGCCAGGTTAGTTCACCCTCGATTGCACACGCACACGCACACGCACACGCGTACATGCAAGTGGTGTGGGCGGCGCACCTTCTTCTGTGGCGGCAGGGTGGCACCGATGGACGAGTGGACGCCGGACTTGTCGATGCGAATGATCTCGCCGGGCGCCACGTCTCGCACGAAATCGGCGCCCACGGTGTGCATCGCACACGACTCCGACGACAGAATATAGACCGGCTTCTTGTCCGGCGACTGTACATACACATATTTAATATATGAATATATATATGTTTCTATGTATATATAGTAATAGATATTGGGGGGGGGGTGACGTACGTCGGGGCGGATTTCGCCAATGCAGAGGGGACGGAAGCCGAAGGGATCGCGCACGCCGAAGAGGGCGTCCTTGGTCATGATGACCAGCGAATAGGCGGCCGACGTGTACTCCATGAGGCTCTTGATCCGACCCTCCCAGTCGGGCGTCTCCGAGTCCTCGCCAGGCGGCCTCCTCGCCAACATCTATCCGCACACATCGCACCGCACACGCCGCACACAACCCGCCGCACGCGCGTCGAACGAGTGAGCGGTTGGTCGGAGCTGAGCCGAGGAATGAGAGGGAGGAGCAGGAGGAGGCACGCACCTGGACGATGACTTCAGTGTCGGACGAGGTGAACATGCCCACGCCGTTCTCGAGGAGTTGACGGCGCAGGTTGTGGGTCGACGTCAGCTGCCCGTTGTGCGCAATCGCCAGCGGACCGTGCAGCGTCTCGATCACGAAAGGCTGATTACACATCGCCACACGCACCACACAACAAACAAACAAACACGATATCGTTAACCTTTGAGAAGTCTCCAGATAGATAGATTGATTGATAGCAGGAGACGTGCGACATTGCGTGTACCTGGGCGTTGGTGAGCTGGGAAGAGCCGACGGTAGAGTAGCGGTTGTGTCCGATGCAGCTGCTGCCCTTGAGCTGCTTCATTGTCTTCTCCTTGAACACCTGCAGAATCCCGACACACGGCACGCGTCACAACACGACACACGACACGTCTCTCTCTCTCTCTCACACACACACACACACACACACACACGGAGAGAGAGAGAGAGAGCGCGCGTGCGCGCGCGTTGGTGACAAGGGTCCTGCCGTTGCACGACGATGGCGCGTACCTGGGTGACGAGGCCCATTCCCTTGTGGACGTGGAAGCCGCTCGACCCATCGTTGGAGGCCAGACCGCAGCCCTCTTGGCCTGTGACAGCCAGCCCTCTCCCCCGTCAACAACCACCGCGTGCGCGTGCGTGCCGTGCGCTGGTGCGCGTGCGCGTGCGTGTGCGGTGTTGTCGAAAGGGTGTGCGCGTACCGCGGTGTTGGAGGGTGTAGAGACCGAAGAAGGTCAGACGCGATGCCTGCACCTCACCGTTGGGGTCGAACACACTGCCACGCGCGTGCACGGTGCAAAGTAAGATTAAAAAAGGCCAAAAAAAAACAAGATTGAATGACATGGGATGCCACCAACCCAAAGATTGCGCATTCCTCCTTGGGCTTATCGTCGTCGCTGGAGCCCAGGCCGAAGGGAGTGTCCTTTTCATAGTCCATGCTGTGCCAAATCTTTGCCAGGGATGAAAAATCTACGGATTCGATTGGCAGAGATTAGATCTCGCGCCAAGCAGTGTTGATGGAGTGGAAGTGCGTACGGACTCCGTAGAAGAGAAGATGAGCGAACAGTGAAAGAGATGCTAGAGGGTGAAGAGATGGGAACGGAGATCAGAGTGGGCACAACGTTCTCGGAGCTTGGCTCGCCAAACGTCAAAGCAAAGCACGCCACGAATAATTCTGCAGAAGAGGGAAATCATAGGATAAACTACATTTCGCGAATATTTGGGATTGCAGGATCTGCATGTTGGCGCCACCCAGGACTCTGGGACAAGTGCAACATGTTGTGGGATGGATCAGGATACCTAGATTACATTCCCTTTTGTGAATTATTTGGAGAATTTATTGGAAACCAACTGGTGCACCTGAGCTGATCCATCCACTCACTGTTGGGTGGCGGTGGTGTCGTCGCACCAGCGGCGGGCGTTCTGGAAGAGGTGGAGCCAGGGCGACACGGGCACGGTCTCCTCCTTCCACTCGTGGGGCATCCACGCCCACTGCCACCTGAGGAACGTGCGCTCCGGGTGGGGCATGATCGCCATGTGACGGCCGTCGGGCGAGCACAGCGCCGCAATGCCCTGCATCGAGCCGTTCGGGTTGAACGGATACCTGCGACACGACACGACACGACCAACGACACGACACGACCAACGAGACAGTGAGTTTCTGGCTCGACGAGAGGCGACGACGGGGTCCGACGTACGTCTCGGTGGGGCGGTTGTGGTCGTCGACGTAGCGGATGGGGGCGAGATGCTGCTGGAGGACCTGCTCTTCAATGGCCTTGCTCGGGAAGTGCACCTTGCCCTCCCCGTGCGACGACCAGCAGCCCAGCGACGATCCCTCCATTCCTGCACGACACACGACACACGATACGCACACGGCAGCACGACACACAGGTAAATAAATTGCATTCTTGTAATAGTTGGATGATGATGATGGTGTGTGTGGGTGAGAGAGAGAGAGAGAGAACCCTTGAGGAAGATGGACGGGTTGTCTTCCATGATCTTGAGGGTGACGAAGCGGGACTCGAATCGCTCGGACTCGTTGTGGATGAAGCGCGGTTGCGATTGGAACCAGGCCTCCTCGGCATCGCTGGCGCCGTCGGCCTCCAGGGTGGTCTGCTCGTAGTACTTGGGGAAGGGAATGGCGCCCAGCAGCGCCATCAGCTGGCACCCGTTGCAGATGCCCAGCGAGAACGTGTCCTTCCTCCGGTAAAACGCTTGGAATTCCTGTGGTGTGTTGTGTGTCGTGTCGTATGTATCGTATGTGTCGTTGGTCGTGTCGTGTCGTGTCGTGTCGTGTCGTGTCGTGTCGTGTCGTGTCGTGTCGTGTCGTGTCGTGTGTGTCGTGTGTGTCGTGTGTGTGTGTCGTGGTGTTAGCACACACCACACACACGATGAGCGAGCGGGCCTGTCATATTACCTCGAGCAGCTTCTTGTTGAAGTGGATGAGACCAGCCCAGCCCTTGCCCGAGTCCATCACGTCGGCATAGCTGAATCCGCCGACGAAGGCGATGCCACGGAATTGGGAGAGCGAGACCTTGTCCTCGAGCAGGTCCTTCATCTTCACGTCCCACGCCTCGAAGCCCGCGGCGTTGAACGCGCCCGCCATCTCCCTGCACACGTCACATCACCAACGCGTTTAGATGCTCGTGTCGTTAGTCGTGTGTCGTGTGTGTCGTGTCGTTCGCAGCGTACCTGTCACCGTTGGAGCCCTCCTCGCGCAGCACGGCGACGCGGGGCTTTTGGCTGGCGAACCAGGCCGACGGCGTAGGGCGAGGTTCGAAGGTGAGGCGGTAGTCGGGAGCCTACCGCGCCGCACACGCACATCAGACGAGGCGGGGAGAGGAGAGAGGAATTGGTGGTGTGGGGGGGCGAAGATCGGTGGTACCTGGCGTGAAGCGAGGCCGGTCCGTTCCTCCTCGACGCACTTGGGGTTGGCCTGGCGCTTGTCCAGCTGGAACGACGTCTCCTCCCACACATTCCTTTCATGCCAATGCGCATTCCACGTCAGCAAGCCCATTAAAATGTGGACCGTAAGAATGGGTCAGGGCGCACCTGAGCTGGGTCATGGGCTGGTCGATGATGAGGTGGCCGTTGGAGGTGAGCTTGATGCGGTCGTCGCGCGTGGTGGTGCCCAGCGTGATGACGTGGCGCAGGCCCTGGCCGTGGAGGAAGCTCACCACCTCGTCGGCGTGGTCGGCGCGCACCTCAAGCACCAGGCCCAGCTCCTCGGCGAACAGGGTGCGCACGATCGTCATCGCCAGCTCTTCGCCCTCGTACTGCTCCGAGTTGAGCGTGACGCTGATGCCGCAGTTACCGGCATAGGCCATCTCTGTTATGACACGACACGACCAACGACACGACCAACGACACGACCAACGACACGACCAACGACACGACCACGCCGCACACACGTCAGACACTGCAATCCATAGACGCTGCAGAACAAAGGGGTCAATTCGTACCGAGGAGGGTGGTGATGAGTCCGCCGTCGCTGCGGTCGTGGCCGGCGAGGACCTTGCGCTGGTCGAGCAATTCCTGGACGGCAAGGAACGCCTTCTTCAGCTGGTCCACGTCGTCCACGTCGGGCACCTCACCGCCCAGCTGGTTGTACACCTGACCCAGCGCCGATCCGCCAATGCGGTTCTTCTGCAGAGATCGCGATCGCGGTCACGTGTGATGGGTGAGACATTGTTCAGATCCTGGGCTGTTGCCATGCAACACGCCAATTGTGCGGGGGTCGGTGGGGTTTACGTTGGCTCCGAGGTCGATGAGGAGCAGCGTGGAGGGGATGCCGGCCAGCGGGCCCTTGAGGTCGGGGGTGACCTTCTTGGAGAAGTCGGGCGTCGTGCAGTAGCCAGACACCACCAGCGTGCCGGGCGCCTTCACCGTCTCCCCGCCCGCCAGCGCCGCCATGCTGCTCACACGCACACATGTTCAGCAATATATCAACATATCAATATAGCATGCCAACATATATACTCTCGTATTGAAAGTAATGATAAGACGGTGGTTTACCTAAGGCTGTCCTTGCCGCCGTCGATGGCGATGCCGAGCTGGATCATCATCTCGCTCATGGCCTTGCAGGCGTCGTAGAGGGCGGCGCCCTCGTGCGGCAGCTTGGCTGCCCACATCCAGTTGCCGCTGCACTTGATGTCGCCCAGCCCGCTGAGCTTGGCCCACACGATGTTGGTCAGCATCTCGCCGACCGACATCCGCGCCATCGCCTTTTTCGCGACACGACACGACACGACACGACATACAGCACACGACACGACACGACGCACGTCAGCCTCGGCATCGGTAAATAGATTGTAAAATTGTGTGTTCGTACGGCGTGTGCGTACCTGCGGGTGGGTGAGGCCCTTGATGGGCTGCTCGCCGATGGCGGTGACGCCGCCGGTGAGGCCCTCGTAGGACTGGGCCACGACGGCGTAGTCGGCCAGCGGGATGTGGAGCGGCCCCACGCACTGCTGCTGGGCGATGAGGCCCGTCACGGACCGATCGACCTTGGTGGTGAGGAAGCGCTTGGAGCCCACGCTCAGCAGGCGCAGCACGCGCGACAGCACCCCCGACACCACCGCCTGCGGGTTGGTCGCATCTTCAAGGACACACGCACACGTGAGTCGACAACAATCGGCGAACCAGAAAGAAAGAGAAAAAAAGAGGAAAGAGAGGAAATAGAGAGAAATGGAATGGAGGGTACCGAGGGACGATGGCAGGACGAAGGGCGTGTGCTCGAACTTGAGGCGGTCGGAGACGAACGTCTTGCGGGGCATCTTGGCCAGGAAGGCGTCCTGTGTCAAGAGCGCATCAAGGCCAGTTAATCTCTACCACTCGACGACAGTGCACACGACGCACACTACACACACGACACCAAGGAAGAAAGGGAGGGGAACCAAATCGAGGTCGAGCGGGACGGTGTCGTCCTTTTCGTCGTGCAGGATCAGGTGGCCATCGCCGCTGACCACGCCCACCACGGCGTAGGGACAGTCCTCGCGCTGTCAACCAACCATAACCAACCAACCAACCAACCCGGTGAGTCTTCGCATGCGAGCGAGTCCGGGCATGCTCGAATGAGCGTGTGGGTGGGTACGTGGCAGATGCTGTCGAAGAGCGGGGCGTCCTCCTTCTTGAGGAGGAGGGCGTCGTTCTCCTGGTACTCGGCGCCCCAGATCTCCATCACCGACAGTGTGTGGTCGCCCAGATGGATCGACCGAATTTCTGAAATTCCTCACGTTAAAGCGAGCTTCCCCCACACCGACACGCTCGACGCACGACACACACACACACGCCAGTTCGCCGAAAGAATGTAAAGCATACCAATGCGTGCACCCTCAGGCTCGACGATTTCCTTGAGCACGTTGCCGTTGCCGCCGGCGCCCTGGTCGTGGATGGACACGATGGGGTTGCGGTCGCCCAGCTCGACGCAGGTGCGGATCACCCGGTTGACCTTCTGCCCCATCTCGGCGTCGCCCCGCTGGACGGCCTGGAAGTCGAGCTCCTCGGCGTTGGTGCCCTGGACCATGGACGACGCGGCGCCGCCGCCCACGCCGATGCGGTAGGCCGGCCCGCCCAGCTTGACCACCAGCATGCCCTTCTCGGGCTTGGCCTTCTCCACGTGCTTGTGGTCCATCTGCCCGAGTCCGCCCGTGAACATGATCGGCTGTGTGCGTGTGCGTGTCGTGTGTCGGTGTATCGGTGTGTGTCGTGTGGCGTGTGCGACATGTTAGTTGATGGCATGCAAGGCTGCTGTGGGAACGCGTGCGGTGCCTTCATGAATTCGCGGCGCTCGCCGTTGGGGAGGCGCATGCCGAAGGAGCGGGTGAAGCCGGCGATGAGGGGCTCGCCGAACTTGTTGCCGTAGTCGCTGGCGCCGTTGGAGGCCTCGAGCTCGATCTGGAGCGGGCTGGCGAACTTGGCCGGGTACTTCCAGTCCTTGTACTGGTCCTCCCACGCGAGCGGGTAGTCCGGGATGTTGAGGTTGCCCACACAGTACCCCGCCGTGCCGGCCACCACCAACGACCCACGACCTTGTCGGTTGCATTCAAACGAAAATCAAAATCAAAACGAAAACGAAAACGAAGAGAGTGAGAATGGAGCTCCTCAGGCAGCCGACACGTGTGGTGGCGATAGATAAGATAGCGGCCGCATACCAGTGGCATGAGTGTCGCGAATGCGGCCGCCGGTTCCGGTCTCGGCGCCAGGGAACGGTGCAACACCTGGCAAAAAAAGTGTCAGTACATCTGTGTGTCTGGAATGCGAGGAAAATATGGTGTGGAATGTGCAACATACCAGTGGGGAAGTTGTGGGTTTCGGCGGTGAGGAGGACGTCGTAGTCGACGGCCTTGACCTCCATGGGTCCCGGCTCGCCGGGCTTGGAGGGCAGGAGTGCCTTGATCGGATAGCCCTTCATCGTCGACGAATTGTCGCTGTTGCACATGTCACAGAAGAACATCAGTCGGTTCTTACGCAATATGTCGTAGAATGTTGAGTGAAATCTACCGGAAGGCAATGAGAGAGTTGTTGGGGTTGGCCTCGAGTGTTCGGATGACCAGGTCCATCAGCGACTCCTCTACTTCCTGTCCGTCGATCACCAGCCTAATGGCACGACGGGACAACGATCAGTTAATCCAAAGCGACCAATCATCCATGATTGGCGAAGGGGAGTGAGAAGAGCAATGGGACGTACCGCCCCTTGAAGAACCAGTGTCGCGAGTGTTCGCTGTTGGACTGGGAGATGTCGAAGGCCTCCACCGACGTCGGATTGCGCTTCATCTCCTGCGGGTGACCGAAACGTAAATTGCGATTGTGAGTGCACACTCTGCGGAGTTGAGTGGAAAAGAGAAGCTGGGGGGGGGGTGATGTCGTGTCGTGTCACAACGGACCTCGGTGAACAGCTTGGTGTAGTAGTCCAGATCCCAGTCGTCCAGGGCCAGACCCATCTCCTTGTTCACCTTCTCCAGGGCGGCCCTGCCCTCCTCCATGATGCGGATCACCGTCCAGCCCTGTGGTGGTGCCAGTTCTTTGTTTTAGCCTCGTGTGTGACACGACACGACACGACACGACCAACGACACGACCAACGACACGACCAACGACACGACACGACACGACCAACGACACGACACGTACCTCGGGCTTGATGTTGGTCTCGAAGGACTGGAGCGGCTCCGCGTAGACGCACTCGGTCATCTTGTCGTGGATGGAGGCCACGAATCGCTGGATCTGCTCCTGCGACAGCTCTTTGTCGACAGCAAACTGGATCCTGTTTGGAGGGCGCCACGACGGCCGTGTGAGTGGCTCCGTGTTGTGTGTCGTGGTGTCTGTGTCTGTGTCTGTGTGTGTGTGTGTGGAGCGGACGGTACCGTCGGCTCCGCTCGACACGTTGGATGGAAGTGAGGCCGCTGGCATGGCAGATGGCCACGGCATTGGTAGACCAGGCCGTGGCGAAGCTCAGGCGAGGCCCGATCTCGAACGTGTACACGTGCGATCCCTCCCCCTACAACGAGAGTACGGTCAAGATCCTGGCACGCGTACATTGGCGCGTGTATGCGTGCGTGCCATGTGTGTGTGTGTGTGCGGTGCCCGGTTGTGTGCGTGTGTCATACCTTGAGGAAGGAGGTGCTGCCAAAGTTCTGCGGTTCAAATGTCTCGCGGAGCAGCCAGCGCAGCACTCGCTGCTGCTGCTCGTCGAGGGCGTGCGCGGTCTGCACGTTGAAGCAGTACTCGGTCTCGAAGCTCACGATGCGGTGCGCGTCGCCAGCAGCCAGCGCCAGCTTTTCTTTTATCTTGCCTGCGTTTGCGTTTGAAATTTGATTTAATCTCCGCGTACAGATTTGTAGCAAGCTGGCAGGGTGCAGTTGCTGATGGTACCTTGCTGTGATGGCAGAAGACCGGGCGTGCGGTAATAGTGGAGTAGAGCCGCGGAATCGGACTGCATCTTTATGTGGAGTGCTGATCTGTTTGCGCGATAAGCGTGAGAATCGCGAACCACACAGCAAACGTAGCGAGATGGATGAGCGAAGATCGCAGTGCGGAGTTGTTGTCGTACCAGCTCTGGCGATGCGGAGTGTGGTTCGCTCTTCTGACAGAAGTTGCCAGCATAGAGCCAGAGGTCCTCACCCGCTCTTCTGTGGGTAGTCACAATTCGCGGCGTTGCACAAATTGTGCTCGCATCAGGAAAAAGGAACGTTGTGAAAATAGTATTTCCCTGCAGCTTACCAAAAGTGGGCTGTTTGGCCCTTTACACAGAAGGGACGTTCTTTTACGACTGCCACATCTCCAGCCCCTGCCAAACAAACCAACGAGGAGCCAGAGCTGAAGAGGCGGGTGGCCTTGCTGCCTCTTGCTGCTGCTCTATCATGGATAAGCCTGGTGACCCCGCCACTTCGACTTCTGGAGGTACTCAATTCCGCAAATCTGCCACTCTTTCAATCAAAATCATCATTTCTTCTCAACGCATCTGTCAACAACTTTCAGCTGCGCCCCTTTTATTTTCAATTTTTGATAATATCACTTCCATCGGTTCAGGGGGCTCCAACTCGGCGGGTCCGCCACCCCACGGCACCCGCCGCTTCAAGACAGCCGACATCACCAGCAAACGCGTGCGAAAGCCCGAACTGGTGCGCAACAAGGGCCTCTTCGCCGTTGACTTTATACTCAGCCAGTCCAGCACAACCAAGCCACTTGTCCCTCCCGCGTCGGCCTCTCCCTTGACTGGCGCACCAACAGCACCGGCGACACCAGCAGCGTCTGCACTCTCACCACCACCCACAACAGCACTCAACCCAGCGACAGTGCTGCCAGGCACCCAACGCCAACGCCACACACACCGAAACTGACGGCACACCCACTTCCGCAGCCCAGACTGACCGCCCTGCCGCGCTGGCCAGCTTCGCTGAGGACTTCGTTGATGGCGTCTTCTCCATCGGCGCCAGCAGCCTCCTCGCCCCCCGCAGCTCCCGCACACGCACCGGCCATCACCGCACCTGCCGCGATGTCGCCGATCCTCCCACCAGCGCCCCGAATACCTCTTAACCTTTCAGCTCGGCCCGAAGTCCCGACCCCGCCAGAAGCGGCGGCACCACCACCGCTCTTGGCCCGAGCACCAGGACTCGTCGACCTGTCGCCCACCATTCGGGCGCTGATGCCGCCAGCGCAGGGACCCTCCTGCCAAATCACAGCAGTACTGCCACCGCCGGAACTGCCTCCAACCTCGTCAATCACACCGTCGCCACTCACACCAGCACCGGCACAGGCACCAATAGTGCCGACAGTGCAGCCTCCAGCACCTGCACCTAACCCGTCTATTCCGTCTTCACCGTCAACGCTTAGCGCGCCGGCTGTGGAAGCAAACAGCAGTGCACCGAAGCGGCAGGTGAAGGTGAAGCCGGAGAAGGTCACACCGGCGGGTGCTGCAGCTGCAACGGGCACGGCCTCGTGTCTGTCGCCGCCGCCAGGTGATTCCGCCGTGGTCGTAGAGAAGACCATCGCCGCCATCGACTCGACGACCAAGGCCAACACAATTAGTGTGGCCGGGCCAGCGGTCGCAGCGCCGCCAGGAGACGTGAAGCAGCAGGCCGAGGTGGCAGAGCAACCGCCAGCAGCGATCCCGGCGGCGGCGTCGGATTCAACAACTACGGACCCCAAGAGGAGCAAGAAGGCCGCCGGTGCCGAGCTTCCGCCCCAGCAGGGAGCCGGCAGGGAGCAAGCCGCGGCCACGTCTGACCCGACCGCCGACACAGCAGCGACGACGCGCCGAGAAAAGACGTCGCCGACGACCACCAAGACCACCACTCTCAAGGCGGACGTCCAGTCCGCGACGGTGTGCCCCAGCCCAACGGCCGCAGTCACCAAGTCCCAGGCGTCCACCACCCACCAGCCGGCGGCGCCTGTATCGCCATCAGTTCACTCGACTCGACGGGACACCGACTCGACCGCCACCAACGGCACCCACGCCGCGGCGGCCGCGGCAACGACGGCAGAGGCCAAGCTCGGCCCGTCGACTACGGAGAGCGATGCCGTGGGCGGGCTGGCCCAGGTGGCGGCCACCTCGGTCGCCGCCGCCCCCACCGCCGCCGCGTCACCCACCGCCAGCCCTACGCGGAAGCGCCGGATCTTGACTACGAAAATGGCCAAGGTCCTAGCCCAGGAGAAACAAGCCGCGGCCAAGCGCGAAGCCGATCTGCAGGACCTCCGCGACAAGCGGCGCGCACTCAACTCCACCGCCGCTGTCGTGGGCAGCGCTGCGCCAGCAACGAAAAAGGAGACGCCGGCGAGCAGGCGACTGAGCATGCTGGAGCGGTTGGACAGCGAGAAGGAGGCGCGGGAGCATGAGGAGCGCAAGCGGGAGGAGCTGGAGCGGGAGGAGCGGCAGAAGGCTCGCGAGGAGCGGCTGGAGAAGGCCGCGCGGGCGGCCAAGGAGGCCGGGGAGCGGGAGCGGGAGGCCAGGGCCAGGGCAAAGGCCGCGCAGGAGAAGACCGAGAAGAGGGCCAAGGACACGGACGAGCGGGTGGGGCACGAGAAGCGAGAGGCGAAGGAGAAGAACGAGAGAGCGAAAGCGAAAGAAGAAGAAGAGAAGATGGAGCGAGAGGCGAAAGAGAAAGAGAAGGCGGGAGAAACAGTTAAGCGAGACGAGAGGGCGAACGGACGAGAAGAGCGAAACGACAACCACATGAAGGAGAAGGAGGAGAAGGAGAAGGAGAAGTCGGCGAGGAAGGCGTCTGTACATAAGGAGACGGCGCGGGAGCGAGAGAGAGCGAGGAAGCAGGAGGCCAAGGAGCAGGCCAAGCGTGAGCGAGAGGCGAGGAAGCAGGCCAGGCGGCAGCTGCAAAAGAAGAAGAAACAGCCGGCAGCGGCGACGAAGAAAGACGAAACCAAGGTCCTCGAGGCCAAGAAGGCGGCTGTGGTGGCCGCGGCCGCCAACGAGGATGAGGTGGACGAGAGCCTGACTTCGTCGGCGGTGCACGGCGGCACCATGATGCTCGCTGCCCCCATCATGGGCCGCGACAGCCAGCAGCCGCCCGCCAGCCGTGGCGGGCTCACGCCGCTTCCCTTGGCGTCGACCTTGTCTCCGTCGCCGTCGTCGACGACATCGACGCCGTCGGCCTTCAAGACTTACTCGCGTCCCACCAACCCCCCGCCCTTCACCCTGATCCTGCCCCGGGTCAACCTGCCCCAGCCGCCACTGCCGCCGGTGGCGACCACGACGGTGCAGCAGCCGCCGGTCGTCATTGTACCCGACTCGAAGCCCGTGCCCTCGGCCAGCTACAGCATGGTGCCCATCGACGCACCTCTGGCCGACGGCACCAAGCACAAGGCCGACGACGCCATAGAGTTGCCACCATCGGCCACGGCCATAGCGACGGTTGTTCCCAAACGGCGAGGCCGGCCGAAGAAAGGCAGGGCTGAGCCCGCGGCAGAGCCGCCGGTGAAGCGAAAGAGGTCCGTAGGCCGCTCACACAAGAGCGCCAGCGCTGGGCCAGCCACTCCGCCGGCAGCGGAGAAGCTCGCCGGGGCGAGAGCCACGAAGAGGCGCCGGGCCGACAGCCATGGACTGCAGTCGGCCAGCGACGACAGTCGATCGGCCACGCCGGTGACGATCGCTACACCCGCGAGCACGCCACCGCACTCATGGCCACTGTCGCCTGCCACGTCATCGTCGGCAGCGTCATCGTTGTCGACAAAATCGAAGCCTCGAGTGGCCAGGGCGTCGGGCGGGCAGGTCCAGCAGACAGCAGCGGCAGGCCAGCATACTTCGGCAGACGTGGTGGCTTTGGCGGACGACGAGAAAGAGAAAGAGGGAAAGAACGAAAAGGAGCCCAAGAAGAGACGGAAGAAGGAATCAGGGGACGAGCAGAAGAAGAAGCGGAAGCGAAAGAGAGAGACGAAGCGGGAGACTTACGATAAAGAGGAGGAGGAGGAGGGACTCGAAGGCGATGATGACGAGGGAATTACGACGAATGAGAAGCGCGAGGGAGCGCAAACCTCTGGACGCCGGAATCGGACGAACCTGAAGGCGCTCCACAAGAGACGGCGATTGACGCCGGTAAGCATGGCTGAGTCCGCCGAAGGCGACAAGCCCACCCTGCGCAGTCGGACTGCCGGTACGGGGACACGACACGACACGACACGACACGACACGACACGACACGACACGACACGACACGACACGACAACACGACACGACCAACGACCGAATTTTGCGAAACAGGCAAGACAAGGGGGGACCGGGCGTCGGCAGGCATCGACACGCCGTCATCGCCGTCGTCATCCTCGCGACCGGCATCGCCAGCCATCCAGGCCAAGGCCGCCTTCGCCGGCGTAGGCAGCGGTGGTGCACATCCGGAAGACAAAGGAGGGGGCAAGGAGGGGTTGCCTCAGCTCGAAAAGATGCTCGGTACGCCTACACCTTGCCGCACCTTCTCTTGGGCGCGTGTGTCGTCGTGTCGTTGGTCGTGTCGTTGGTCGTGTCGTATCGTGTCGTTCTAATGTGTGCGTGTGCGGTTGCGTGCATTCAGACGGCTTCACGACGCTGCTTGATTCTGCGGCAGAGATGGCGCAAGGAGCGACTGCTCGCAAGTCACCGTCGCCATCGCCATCGCCGGCGCAACTGGTGCTGCCGCCCCTGCCGCGGCCCAGCATCCCGATGGGGGGCCTCGAGGAGGGCTACCAGGGCTTCCTGGCCACGTGCACCAACTACTTCGACGCCAAGCAGCAGCGCGAGGCCCTCGCCTCGCCCCTGCCGCCGCCTTTACAGTCGCCCCATCAGGCCGGTCCGCTCTCCCCGATGGCGAAAACTGTGCCGCCGAGCGAGCCGACAGTGGCAACCGTCGTCACGATCCATGACGCGCCGGCTCCCATCTTACTCATGTCTCCTGCAGCGGACGACCCGCAGTCGGCGACTACCGACCTGCCGACGATCACCGACGAGCGCACGACCGAGACACAGCGGGAGCCGCAGTTCTTCCACGGCAGGGAGGGCGAAGAAGGCAGCCCGTCGGAGCTCGGCATGCAGCTGGGCGCCAACCTGAGCAGCAGCGACTCCGGTGGCGTCCGAAGTCACCTGGTGTCGCCCTTCAGCGACATACTACGGGAGTTCAACATCGACGCCAGCGACGTGCATTCGGGCGGCGGCGCCTACAAGCAGCAGCCTCACCAGAGCCATCCCTACGTTCACCACCACCATGCCAACTATTTTGGCCTGCCTACGTCGCCGCTCGACATGTTCATGGTGCACCCCCACGAGCAGGACCCCTTCGGCGAGCTCTCGGGCGGAGGCTACGCCCCCTTTCTCAGTTTTCCAGCCGACGACGTCTCGCCCTACTACTCTCCCTCCCCGCTGCCACACGAGTCCGGTGAGAAGACTCCGGGTCTGGGTGCGGCCGGCGACGATATGGGCTCCAAGTCGGGCGATGGCTCCAACCTGCCTGTGCTGGTGACGAACCTGGACACTGTGGACGTGGTGCTGGCGTCCGGCAAGACCTACTCCCACAACATAGGCGACTCCCGTCGGGTGCCAACGCCGACGCCGACATTTGACGCCCAATCCCTCAACGCCAGGCTCATGCCGACGTCGGCGGCAGCGCCCACGCGGTCGCCGTTCGTGTCGTACAGCGGACAGCGCCTCCCGACAGCGACGCCCCCGTTTCGCGCGACCCCGCCCAGTGGCGCCCAGAGCAGTCCCCACGATGGTACCAACTGCCTGCAGACTCAATTGGGCTCGACCGACGCAGCGAGCCCGCACCCCAGGTACATTAACCAAAACAACACATCATCTCGCGTCTAGATTGTGTGATGTGCAGCTTTTGTTCTGACTCAACTTCTCTATCTCTCCCGCTCGCTCTGTCTCGCTCTCTTTCTCTCCTTACCGGCAGCGGTTCGTCGGGCCAGAATGCGGAGAGTGACGGCGGCGAGCACCGCATTCGATTCTACGTACAGCTTCGCAAGGGCAACGAGACAGTGCCCAGTACTTGCCCCCTGCTCTATCGACGCTTCCACAAATCTGTGGCTATGAAATCGTATTCTCACAGTCTTGCTTCTCTCTTCCTTTCTCTCTGACTCGTTAGTTCGGGTGAACAAGGGCTTGACCTTCAGCGGCCTCAAGAAGCTCGGCATGGAGCACTGGTGCGTTGGACACACGTTTCATTGTATTTTATTCTATCATTGTAGAGACAACGCTCACCATGCCCTTCTCCTCTCCTCTCCTCTCCTGCGCTGGTGTGCGACACGCAGGGGCGTGAAGGCCATGTCCCCCAAGCTGTTTCGAGTGTATGACCGCCATGGTACGCACTCACCGAAGCAAGTACTACATTGCTACATTGATCTCATCGGACTCTCCACAGGAGCTTTCACCGTCGGCAGGGACCTCGTAGTAAACGAGGCGGTCAGCAACGAATGCTTCACTTTGGTACAGCTGAGCCACGACAGCACCAGCGGTGACAGCATCGGAGACGACAGCACCGCTCCGAGGCAGTGACGATCACTGTCGTCGCGCCCCTGATTTTTTTGTTTTTTTTTGTTTTTTTTTGCGTTTTGCGTTCTTCGCAAGACGGTTTTGACACTCAGTGATTGTGGGGTCTTAGAGTGACCTGTGAATATACAAGTTTTGTCTCCCTCTCTTTCTGTGCGCATTGAGTACTTTCCCTCAATGCTGCCTTTGAGTGTTGTTGGACCAAAAGGCGTGACGCAGCAAGCAACAAAAAAGAGCTGGTCGGCAAAAAAATGGAAGCCGTAACAACCGGGCGGTTGAACCAGACCACCGAACGACATTTGATCGCTGCCGTTCGTTCTTCTCCAGCTTTCTGAACTCTTGGATAGAACGCCTGCAGCCCATTCTGGAAATCGGAAAAATCCTAAGACGATTCTCGATTCTACTACGACATTCATATCACCAAATGCTGGTGGGATAAATCAAATCTCCATCGCGAAGCAGTAAATCGAACCAAAGGAAAGAGAGCAGAAGTTCGAGATGGAACGCTTCATGTCAAAGGGGAGCGGCGTCATGTCGAAAGACTACTTCCGACAACGTGGCGCCACCGTTGGCCCAGCACCTACAAAGAGTGAGGAGCCTATGACCGCCCCCACCGTCTCTGCATCTGCATCTGCCTCGTCCCTGTCTGTCCCCGACAGCGGCGTCGGCAAATCGCTGCTGATGTTCAATGGGGCCGGGAGCCGCAAGGCCAGCCTCGGCGTTGGGTCGCAGATCATGTCCAAGAACCACTTCCGAACTCTACGCCCCCCGAAGAGCAAAGGAATCGATGGCGAGGGCAACGGCGAGCCCCCAGCCCCGACAAGGATGCCCTCTCCTCCCACCCTCCGAAGGGCAGACACATGGGCAGGCTCCACCGACGAGGTACTGCTCATCTTCATCATCATCATTCGCGAATCTCGCTGTACTTTTCATGCTGTGAAAGATTTAATTCCAATGATTGATTGTTCTCTTTCTACGTTCGTTCTGCTCTATCAGCTGCCAGCGCGAGGAGACCCCGTCACTCCAGGTACCATCACAGCCCCCATGCGCTCGCTCGATCTCTCTGGCGTCTTCTTGTCTTCCTTCTTTGCCGTAAGCTCACCACGCGTGGTTCTCTGCGCACGCGCAGTGCTGCCCGACCCCGCCACCGAGTCGGCTGGCGACCCGGGCATCTGGTCGTCGTGCCCTGCGCTCACGCTGATCGAAAAGCGGCGCAAGGAGGAGGAGCTGCTCGACAAGAAGCACCAGGAAGCGGTACCGCTTGCCGGCTCCTTCTTTTTCCTCTGTTGGTGCGGTGGTGCGTGCGGCTGTTAGGGTTGTGGGTGAATGCTCAAACGCAGAGCGCGGTGGTTGTGTGGCCACGCGCGCGCGAATTCACTCGGCGCAGATCAGTCTATGGCGCGAGATCGAGGGCGAGGCGTTGGACTCGCTGGTGCTCGAGGTGCCCTCCGAAGAAGAAGACGACGACGACGACTACGAGGAGGAGAAGGCCGACGCCGGGGCTGCTGCCGCTGCAGCGGCGAAGGCCGCGGAGCACCGGGACCACGACGAGCAGCAGCACAGCGCCCCTCGCCCACAGAACAGCGATGCCGCCGCCCGGCCTTCTCCCGCTGAGCCCAGCCAGCCGGGCGGAGAAAAGATCGGGCGGATGCCGTCCACGATGGGCGACGAGGAGCAGGACATCTCCGACATGACCGAGAGCAACGGCGTGTCCGAGCGAGAGGACAACGGCGCCGGCGAGCGTGTGTCGAAGCGCGGCAATACCAAAACCAACAACAACCACCACATCAACCCCGACACCGATTCGCCGTCGAACTCGTCGTCGGTGTCGTTGTCGTTCGTGCCGCCGAAGCCGAGCAAAGTGAGCGAGGCGTCGAAGAGCGTCGGCGCGCTGCCCGTGCGGCGCGGCACGTCAGCGCTGCCGCCGGCCCGGAGCCGGAAGGAGCAGAAGAAGCTGAAGCGGGCCAGCGTGCTGGGCGTGGCCAAGGAGAGCGCGCGCGCCGGGATCGACGATGACGACGACGATGATGACGTCAGCGACGACGACGCCAAGCAGAGCCAGGCGACGCCCCGGCCGCTCAAGAAGCCCGGCCTGTACGTGGGCCGGTTCTATTCGTCGCTCCGACGCCGGGCGCCGCTCGTGCACCAGGGCCGCACCACCGCAGCGACGGCGGCCGAGTCCGAGTCCGAGTCGGACGACAAGTCGTCGTCGTCGTCGTCGGCCAAGGCGGAGAAGAAGCGGGAGAAGGCCGAGAAGAAGCGGAAGCAGAAGGCCGAGAAGAAGCGGGAGAAGAAGGGCGCGCACGAGAAGGGGGGCGACAACGGCAACGAACAGGGGGACGAGGACGAGGACGACGCGCACCTGGACCGGCGCGGCACGATGCCCAAGAACTTCAAGATGCACTTCATGGAGAAGCTGAAGGGCGGCGGCGAGACAACGGGCGACGAGAAGGACGACCATCATCAGTCCTCCAACGAGAAGAGGAACAAGGACAAGAAGAAGGGCAAGAACAAGCACAACAACAAGCAGCGCACCAGCGACCACAGTAAGGAGGCGGTGCGCCGGCAGTCGAGCGCCACCGACGCGCGCAGGGGCTCGGGCGCGTCGGTTCTCAGCTACAGCGAGCCGGAGCCCGACACGAGCGGTAAGGACCGAATCAACGGAGGAGCGTTCAACGGAGGAGCCGAGAGCTCCGATGGCAGCAGCAGCAGTGGCGGGGAGCTGAAGAAGAAGCTGAAGAAGGCGCAGAGGAAGAACAAGGCCCAGGAGGAGAAGATCCGGAAGCAGCAGAACGAACTCGAGCGCATGCGGAAGGAGCTGGAGCGGGTGCGACGGCAGCGAAAAGAACGAAGACGAAAGGAGACGGAGGGCGAGAAAGAGAAGGAGAAGGAGAAAGAGAAGAAGGGGAAGAAGGGAATGGCGAACGAGGCCGAGGGCAGCAGCGCCGGGCGGGAGGAGAAGCGAAAGGCCGCGGCCAAGAAGGAGAGCGAAGACGAGGAGAGCGGCAGCAAGGGCAACAACAAGAATCCCAACAAGAAGAAGACGTGAGAGATCACATGTCACGAGAGAAAGATGCATGCGAGAGAAGCGAGTTGTAGAGAAAGTGAGAATGGCGACGCGAGCAAGAGGGTCCAGCTCTCTTCGGCTGGAGCTCCCGATCCTGGCTTTTGAAGATGAATAGACCTGTACTAATTTATTACTATTTATTGATCGCTGTCTTCTCTTCTCCTCTTGATGAACCCATCAACAAGGTCGACTGCGGAAGCCCGGGGACAACCTTCATCGGACGTCATGCACACGAGCACGATGCGTCAGCGAGGTTGAAGCATGAGTCAACGAAGAACGTGAGGAAACGAGCTCGCGACTCTAACCACCACGCTCCAACGTCTCCAGAACGCACAAGCTCAGACAAAGTAGAAAAAGTTGTCCATCGCAAGTACGGTTTCATCCAAGAAGCATCAAAGTAGCAGTGCTGGCTGGTATTCACATCTCAGCTCCCGAGACATGGAATCGCTGGCAGAGGATGGGGAACAACGACGAGAGGTGCTCAATGGACCCACCACATCCCTCGGGTTCGCGGAGGTGCACAAGAATCGAAACGACAGTGCGCCTTCGTGCAGCATCTACTACGAGCTGCACGGCAATCCCGAGGCCACACAAAAGATCCTCTTCATCACAGGTCCGGCCAGACGATCTAATGCTATGCGATTACAATATTTATTTATTTTGCATAGTAATAATCTTTATCAAACGTACAGGGTTCTGCACGACGTGCGCTGCGTGGGACCACCAGATCGTAAGCTCCGCCTTCCACACAACGTCTTTCCTTCGCTGCACCGGACTGAGAAGTGCTGTCATTGACACAGGGGGGGGTTGGTGGTTATGTCTTATGTACGTACCAGGAATACTTCGCCAAGCTCGGTGACTATCAGCTGTGCGTGTTTGATAACCGCTGTTGCGGCAAGACGCGGTGCACCTACGTGAACCTCAGGTACGCAGCCTCCCCGCGGCTACCGCACGACTGGATCGAGCCTCACCTTCGCTTTATTTCTTTGTTCAGCACGCGCTTGTTTGCCGAGGATGCACGGGACCTGTTGGACCACCTGGGATGGCACGACAGCATTCACCTCGTCGGCCTGTCTATGGGTGCAGACCACGACACGCACACCACGCGCGCGCACACACACACATCACACCAAACACCACCACACACCACCAAACACCACACACACACGCCCACGACAACCGCATATCACTCACATGCAGCATGTATATGCTATTATGCCGTGTATAGGGGGCATGATTGCGCAGGAGCTGGCGTTGCTCGATCCCAAGCGATTCCTTTCTCTCACCCTCGCCGTAACGCACGCGGGTACGCGCTCAAGTTCCTCTTCTTCCTCTTCCGCCTCCTCCTGTCTTTGTCGCGGCACGCCCTCACACTGTCCTGCACACATACACACGACACGAACCACCACCTGACCTGTCACAGGAGGACCGATGGGGATCTCGCCCATCTCGGGTTGGCCTCACCTCCTGTCCTACGCCAAAGCGCGAAGCAAAGACGTGGGCACACTTCTTCCCTTTCATTCTTTTTATTTGTTCTTCTTTGTTGTTTTCATTGCTGTTGTTTGAAAGTTAACATTTATTTTGCTGCAGATGTGGTGATGATTGACGCAACGCTTTCCTCTCTCCAGGGTAAGCTCAAGGCGTTGCTCAACCTCAACTTCTCCAAAAAGTTCGTCGGCGAACATTTCCAGCCCACCTACGACTGGCACGCCGCGCGGTACGCTCATGCCCTATCTTGTGTGAGCTGTCGAGTGGTGTTGAATGACGTGACCACGCTGGGAAATAGGTACTGGGGGCCGCATCTGCTCTCGGTGGTAGGCCACACGCTCGCGGTGATGCGACACTACGTGTCCACCAAGCGTCTCGAAGTGTTACGCGAAGCCCACTATCCCGTGCTCATCCTCACCGGCACCGAAGATCGGGTAACACAAACGATTGCATTGCGGCCGACACACACACACACACACACCCACACACCCACACAAGTCTTCACCTTCTCATCATCAGAATGGCTGGCACTCATCATGAAACGTGGGTTGCTTGTTGTTCATTCAGCTGGTGCGGCCCCAGAATTCGCACATGCTGGCCCGATTCCTGCGAGCCGACTTCCAGGTCCTGGAGGGTGGCCACATGGTATGCATACCTGTTCCGTTTCATTGCAGGGTGGGCTGGATCTAAAGATGATCACGTTCTTCTGCTGCGCGCACGCTCCCAGATCAACATCGAACGTTACCAGGAGTTCAACGAGCTGCTACACACCCACTTTGTGGTACTTGACTCTCTTCTCTCTTCTCTCTTCTCTCTTCTCTCTTCTCTCTNNCTCTCTCTCTCTCTCTCTCTCTCTCTTCTCTCTTCTCTCTTCTCTCTTCTCTCTTTGTGGTTTGGAAAGGAACACTTCACTGATGACGACACGCTCGTGGACCCACCACAGCAAACAATGGCGGGCAAGAAGACGGGTGTGGAGCCTGAAGCCAGCACCGCCAGCGTCGACAGCAGTGACGGAAGTGAAGCCGTGACTGTTGAAGCCGTGGCTGTTGAAGGCCATTGTACAGGGGACGACGGCATCTACGACTTCACTCGTGTGGAGATCTTCGCCGCCCTGCCACGGTCGTAGTTGCCTGGCTGCGTTTCCCGCCAAAACAAACGGCCAGATAGGCAAGTTGCGTTTGCTGGGTTCTGCTACACATTCAAGACGCGATCGCACAGCCTCGGAAAGCATTGGATTGGATTAATTCTTCGCGAAGATGGCGACCATGATCCACTTCGACTCGCCTATGCTCGCTCGCGCCCCTGCAGCGGAGAAGGAGAACAATCTGGCAAAGATGCACAGCAAGAATGGCGGGGGGAAGGGCGAGCAGCCGATGCAGAGGAAACGAATGGCGCTGAAGGCGGTAAACGGTGAGAACCTGTCGGTGTCGAAGCTGAGCCAGCAGACCCCCAAGACGGGCCGCGTAGCGTTATCCAACCTCACCAACACCGTCAGCGCCCAGAGGACCCCCAAGGCCACCCACATCGAGATGGTGAAGCCATCGGGAGGCGCTCCTCGCGTAGCGACCAAGGTAGCGAGGCCCGCCACAACTTCGACCAAGAGACGGGTGCCCGACATCGAGCAGCCCTACCCGAAGAAGGTCGTGCCCATCTTCGAAGATGCACCGCGCCTGCCCAAGAACTGGACGAACGGTCTCTCGATCGACATCTGGACTGGACCCGCCGTCGAGGACACGACCGATTTCGACCAGGCAGCGAAGCTGAACGTCGCGTTCGAGCCCATGCCCTACGACTCGTCGATGTTGGAATTTGGCGATGTTCCTCTGCTCGACGATCTTACTGCCGACCTCAACCGCGACCTCGGCGAAGACGCGAAGTCGTTGGCTGCCGAGCTGCTGGAGCTTTCGTGGACGCTCGACGGTGCTCTGCCCTGATGATGGCAAGAACCGGGACGCAATTCCATCTTCACTAGAAGCGTTGAAACGATGAAGACTTGTTTCATTCTCCTTCCCCTTACCGGCCATAGCCACACTAAATAAATCTTTTCAATGCGTATGCCCTTATTTCTGCTTCTTGCAGATCTGCACCAATTTGGATCGATTTACCAAACCAGGTCCTTTCAGCAAGAAGACACCTTAGCAGATTCCACCAAGGGTACTTACACGCACATCCTTCGATTGTTCTTCGTCTATTGACACTTTGTGTTTGTTTGTTTGTTTGTAGTGAGCCCTGCAAGCAAGTAGAACGATGAGAAGAGAAGATGATGAAGAGGAGTCAGGATCCAGCCTGTTGACGTCAATGGTGGCCCTTGATCATCAAGGATCCTATCTGCCCGAGGGGTCCTCCTCGAGCAAGAAGCTGGCACACGAGATCGGCCAGCACCTCGCGCTGCTCAAGACGCCCCTGCCCGTGGTGAACCGCGAGGGCCTCATGGTGTCTTCCACCCAGACGCAGGGCTGGCTGTGGTCCCAGAAGGGCTATCGCGGGTGGAAGAAGAGGTGGTTCGAGTGGCGCTACAGCGATGTCCACGAACAGTGGAACCTCTACGCCTACAAGAGCCAGGACCACGTGGTACGCACACCACCCATTCTATCATCGCCATCGCTGAAGGAGTCCGGCCACGCTGTTTCTTGGGCCGCGCGCGCTTGTGTGTGGTGTGGTGGTGTGTGTGGCGTGTGTGGCTGTGTATCAGGGCACGAGCAAGCTGCCGGCGATCGTGCCGGGCAAGGTCAAGTCCGTGCTGCGCACGCTGAACGACGACCCCAACGCCAAGAGCCTGCTCAAGGTCACCTTCGTCCACGGAGAGGAGTTCAGCAAGAAGCAGCAGGAGACCAACCTCGAGGCCATGAAGAAGACCGACGACGTGCCCACCAGCAAGACCTTCCTCCGCGTCTTCACCCGCAAGAGCGTGGTCATGCTCGCGTACGCACCAACTTCTTCTCTTCTCTTCTTCTTCGTCTTCTCGTGCTGTTGATAGTTGTACGTTGCTCATCGCCCGAGTGGTCCAGTGCTGTGGACGACGACGAGCTCGGCCGCTGGGCGGGCGTCATCACGACCTACGTTAAGGACCTCCTGGGCTCGCAGTACGACACGAGCGCCGTCGTGGCCGAGGTGCGCTTCGCCCGCCCTTGTCGGCGCCTCTCACCTCAACTCTTCTCGGCTTATGTAAACATAAAAATAAATGTGAATATATATCTTACCACCTCCACTATTCCAGGAAGTGAGCGTTTTGCTCAAGCAGCAGTACTCGGGCTACCTGGTCAAGTGCCAGAATCTCCTCAACGGTTTCTTCTTCTTCTTTCCTTCTTCTCGATTCTTACTCTTACAGTCATCATCGGAAGTCCTTGTGTGATGAAGGTGATGGTGGTGATGACAATGTGAACTGACTGCGTTTCGATGGGACCAGCCCTGGAGCAGAACGGTCTGTTCGAGGACGCGTGGAAGCACAAGAGGGACAAGAGCGGCACGCTGCTCGTGGAGAGCGGCAGCGCCGAGGACGGGTGGCGCAAGCACCGATTCATTCTGCAGGGCAAGGTCCTCTACCACTGGCCCAGCGACAAGGGGGTACGTGCCATCCACCATTATATCACCATATTGCCTTAATGTAGCACAATGTGTTGACAACAATGTCGGTGTGTGTGCGTGCAGCACAAATTCATCAGGGCGATCCCGCTCAAGTTCGCCACCATCGAACACGATGTGGACGGGCACCCCGATGACCAGGGCCTCTTCCAAATCACCACCCCGCTCGTCAGCTACGTCATCAAGGCCAAGCACAAGGTACCCCCCCAACGCAACAAGCATGTAATCTCGTCTGCTGATTGAAATGACTTCTTCTTCTTTAGGTGGCGATGGAGGAGTGGGTCAACGCCATCGAGCGGAACAAAGCCAAGCCCAAGCTCTCCACCGGCGAGAAGATCTCAGGTTGGTGCCGACCCACCACCACACACGACACGATAAGACCACAACAAGACACGACACATCACACACCAGCAGCCCCAATGGAGTGCTCACACGCCCTGGCCGGCCGTGGGCCTCTGGCATACCATAGAGAGCGTCAAGGGTGTGGCCGCGGCTCTGGCCCACTTCCAGATCGGCGGCAAGCACGAGGAGCTCTACCCCGACGGGGTGCCGCTGCTCAGCCTTAGCGACGCCGAAGGAGGTGCCTGCCCCCCTCCCAACGCCCCCTTTGTCGTACCGGCTGAGTGTGACGTGGCGCGCGGTGCTGAACAGGGCCTGGGAGCATCAACCCCAAGAACGCGGTTCTGGTGGTGACGTCGCAGGCCAAGCAGAAGAGCTACAGCATCAAGAAGCCCTCCATGACCATCGGGCGCTCGTCGGTCAATGAGATCGCTGTCAACGATTCCAGGTGGGTCACGCAACACGGCACACGATACGATACACGACACACAGCTCACGTGTGCGTGTGTGTGGCGTTGGTAGGTTGTCGCGTGAGCACTGCAGCATCGACGCGCTGGGCGACAAGCTCGTGTTCTGCGACATGGGCTCGAAGGGAGGCAGCAAGATCAACAAGGTGCGCGTCACCGACCGCACTGTCCTGCGGGCCGGCGACCTCATCAAGGTAGGCAAGACCACCATCCTGGTCCTCAACAAGTAAGTATACATATCATATTTCTTATATTATATAAAATAGATAAAAATGTCCTGCACTGCGAGTGCTCGGATGAATTTCGGTCATTGGGTAAACCCGCACGTGGTCTGTTCCCTTTGGGGAAGCGGGCGGCAGTTGGTGGAAAGGATTGCGTCTTTGCCTTTCTCGCACCTCAAACCCTGTTACGGCATGACCTCTGCCGAGCTTCGGACCTTGTTGTCTTCGTTTTCTTTTCTTCCCCCCTTTGCCTCTTCTCTCTTTCAGCGGCAAGTGAAGAGAGGGAGCGTCGATGCACGCAGACCAGAGCCCCCATAACACGTCGGCGTCAACGTCCGCCACACCTCGTTATGACAACACGTCAACTTTGCCAGCGGCTGCATCGACCACCCGTACTGCCGCTTTGATGGCCAACCCGCAAACCCAGCAATGGTCTCAATCAAATAACCCCTTTCTGCCCCCCCCCGCAACTTCGTTCTTCTTCAGCTTCGATCTTTCCCTCGTGTGGTCTACGCCAACTCACTCCGTTCGTACATATGCGCAGGGGCGAGATGCTGGAGTTTCTGGACTACTTGTCCTTCATGCAGGACGAGCACTGCGAGTGGCGACGCGACCCGCCGGCGCGCACCGTGGATGATGGGGAGAACCCCACCACAGCGCTGCTCGCCCCACACGCACCGCCACTCGCCACTTCTCCCGCTTCAACCACCACCACAGCAGCAGCCGCGACCAACACTTCGCGATCATCGCCACGGAAGGCAATTGCCCCTTCGTCGTTCTCCACGGCTCCGTGGTCGTCCGACACAGCGGCGTGGCCAGAACTCGGCATTCCTTCCCTGTCGCCCTCGTCGTACTCCTCTCGCCCCAGCCACCACCACCACTCCGGGCATTCGCTCCACCTGCCCTGTTCCCCCGCACTGCCGACAGAGCCGGCGGTGCCATCGTCGCCGACGTTGTGAGGCACGAATGTTGTTTATTTCGTGTAGATTTATTTCTAAACAAATGACTTCTGTACAACAAACACCAACCGAGTTGTGTCTAAACGGTGTTCTCTCTTGTGGAGCGCGTCTGGTGGCCCAATGGCTGATCAAAATTGGGGAGAAGGAGGAGGAGGCCGGCACACGCGCGCGCTTAGTCGGCTTTGCGCTTGCGCCACCTCTTGCGGATGATGCGCGCGACGAGGTAGAGCACCCGGAAGAGCGTCACCACGCACACCACCATCGTCGTCGTCAGCACCACTATGATGCACAACGCCGCACCCAGCTCATGATGCGCTGTCGTGTCGTGTCGTGTCGTGTGTGTCGTGATCAGCACACAAACGATCAATCACAGATAGATCGCAGGCGGCACATGTACCGATGTTGGGCCACCAGACGAAGATGTCGCGGTAGGTCCACGAAGACGACGATGATGACGTGGCAGCGTCGGCCGTGGCGGCGAGGGTGGCGTAGGTGCGGGCGAAGAAGGCGTTGACGAAGCCCGGCGCCAGGAGGCGCCCGACCGGGAAGTCGTGCATCCACCACCACACGAACAGGTAGCAGCCCTTGACCACGTAGCCGAACAGGATCACGAGCAGCTCGAGCATGAGGATGAACGAGACCACCACCACGAGCGCGATGTCCTTGTCCTTCGTCAGCACCGTCGAGTTGTAGGTGTGCCCGAACAGGTGGCAGATGAAGATCTCCACATTCGTCAAAAACCAATTCGGCAGCAAATACCTGGCACGCCCATCCATGATGATGTGACGTCATCGTCCACGTTAACGTGGTTGAAGTGGGTGGGCCTTACTTAAGGTGGCGGGCGTGTAGGGATTTTAAGGTGGCGGTACGTTTGGATGTGGGAGAAGCCGGTGACGAAGGGGTAGGCGAGCTTCTTGAGGAGCTCCTTCTGCTGGAGGTGCGGCGCGATCTTCTTGACCAGGGGCCACCCGACCTTGTCGACCAGGAAGTCGACGATGGGCTTTGACCGCTCGAGCGCCACCCGGTACAGGGCCGACAGCAGCGGCAGCACCAGCGAGTCCCACACCAGCCCCGCCTGCCACTGCACCAGCTGCAGCATCGGCCGCACCAGCAGCCCCAGACTATAGTCGTCGCACACACACACACACACAAACGCATTAGTGTCTTGTGTGCGGTTTTGCGTGTGCGTGTGCGTGTGCGTGTGCGTGTGCGTGTGCGTGTGCGTGTGCGGTACCAGTCGAGGGTGAGTTGGAAGAGGAATTTGGAGAGGGGCCAGAGGAAGGCGCCGAAGAGGTGGGCCAGGGGCCAGAGGAGGAAGCGGACGAGGGAGAAGAGGGAGAGGGTGAGGGCCAGGAAGGGCTGCGACAGGACGACCACGAGCGGCACGAGCTTCTGCTGCAGCACGTGCGCGAGCGGACCCAGCACCGACGTGGGCACCAGGTAGGACAGCACCGGCAGGATGTTCGAATACCAAAAATTGAACGGAATGATCAGCACCACCTGCAACGTCCGTTTCAGTTGCTCCTATGCAACCACAATTTAGATACATTTAACGATATTAGTTACATGTGTGTGACATATCAGTGCAGTGTGTGTGTGGTGTGTGCGGTGTGTGCGGTGAGTGTGTGCGGTACCTGGAAGACTTCGACGAGGAGGCAGAGGAGGATCTGGAGGAAGAGTTGGAGGATCTGGTTGGCGAGGAGGTTCTTGATGGAGAGCCACGACCGGCGCGCCTTCTCCCGGTACCACGTGCGCGTGCCGGGGTCGCTCAGATCGAGGTAGCTCTTCACAAAGTCGCCCTTCTTCTTCCTCACCTTCTTTCCTGTGTTGTGTTACGTTTTGTCGGTGGTGGTGGTGTGGTGTGGTGTGGTGTGGTGAGAATAGCTTTGGCTGAGTAGTAAAAAGGGCGGATTACCTGTGATGGGCATGCGAGAGGGCGATGAGGGACTGTGGTGTAGTCCCTCATCGCCCTCTCGCCTCGACGCCGCCGGGAACGGGTCCATGATCTCTGGGTCCTGATAGCGAGCCGCGTCACATTGTCAACATTCCGCGCATTGTGTCGTGTGCGTGTGCGTGTGCGTGCCTCGAGGTACTGGCGGATGAGGTGTTGGATGGGAGGCGAGGCCAGCTGGACGGGCGTCTTGCCGAAGAGGTTGCGCGAACACGGATCGGCGCCGAACTCCATCAGCATGCCCACCATCGCCTCCGACTCGTGCTTCACCGCCCACTGGCACGACAAGAACAGTCAGCACCCTTCTGTGTGTCGTGTGTGTGTCGTGTGTGGTACATGGAGTGGTGTATAGCCGCTGTCGTCTGTCAGGTTTGGGTCGGCTCGCGATTCCAGGAGCGCCTGCGCCACCTCGAGCCAATTGTTGAACGCCGCATACTATACGCACGACACGACACGACACGACACGACACGACACGACACGACACGACACATGACACGCCCACGCAAGGCACACGGTGGCCATGTGAGGATCCCTGCGGCAGTGTGTATCATAGTGGCGTGGCGTGGCGTGGGGTGGCGTGGAGCGTACGTTGAGGTAGCCCCACCCGGTCTTGTCGCGCACGTTGAGGTCGCCGCCGTCGGCGACGTACTGCCGCACGCGCTCGACGAGCTCGGGCTCGTCGCGGTGGGTCATGGCGTAGAAGGCCAGGAACAGCTCGCGCGGCCCATCGTTGGCGGCGGCGGCGGCGGTCGGGCCTGATGACGTGGCCAGAGCCGGCAATGACGTGGAGCGGCCGGGGGGCAGCGATGGTCGTGGGCTCCCGCCAGCAAATGGCGTAACCCTCATCTGCACCCTTTTCAAATCAAGAGAGGGTGGAGCAGTTTGATTGTTGAGGACACATCACATAAAAGATCTTTACTCAAATCTTAAATAAGAACAATGGAGGGGAAAAACAAAATCCCACATTGATGGATGGATATGGGGGTACCTCGTGACAGACACGCGTGTGCAATGTAAAGGAGCTGAGGTGCCGAGCCTTGAAGATGCAAGAGTGTAGCGAACGTGGGGATGGAGGGTATTGTTTTCTTCTGCGGTTTACCTCTTTTTTCTCGGCTTCTTTTCGCCTGGCTATCACTTTCGAAGAAGAAACCACAACAACTGGAGTCCGCCGAAAGGACGCAAGAGGAGACCACATCGTAAGGAATTATTTTAATTAAAAGCAAATAATTCAGCAATTCAACCATTGAGACGAGCAAGTAAAGAAGGGCGGACGGACGGACACAAAGGCGATTAATTAATCATCAAACTCGAGATGAACGTTCAGCAATTTTCCATCAAGCAATTAGAAGTGGAGAGCAAGCATCTCAGCGACGTTTTGCGCTGTACGTCTCCCCCCCCCCGTGCCGTTATTTATTATGCAATGTGTAGCGGCTCAAGATCGACTGCCCTTGTTGCGCTCGTGCCCTGCAGGCATGCTCCACACCGTGCTCTTCAATCGGGCGTTCGGACTGGTCTATCCCAAGGAGGAAATCATCGACACGCTCGACTTTGAATATGTACATACAGAAAATCACTTTGCATTCATCTACTCCATATTTATATTCTATTTATATTCTATTTATATTTATATTTTTAATAATTCATCTCTTTTATGAGCGCAGGTAAGGTGCGACGACGTGACGGTGCACCAGTACGTCGAGGAACAAATCAAGACCTTCCGCACGACCCTCGCCGAAAGGGAGGATCGAAGAGCCCAGGTGCGTGTGCCGCGTGTGCCGCGTGTGCCGTGTGTTGTGTGGTATCTGACCGGTGTGTGCGGCATGTACGATCAGTTGGTGCTGTCGTTTTTTGAGACGCGATCGAAGAAGGCCTGGTTCCGCAAGGTCGAGGAAAAGATCTGCTTTGAGCAGTGGGTCTTCTTCATCATCCTCAAGGAGGACTCGCCAGTCGAAACGCCAGGTACAACAACCAACCAACAACCAACACTCCTTACAACCAACCTGGCGTGCTCACTCACACACACGATTCTCTTCGTCTTCGTCGGGTGTGCAGAAGCGCGAGAGAAGCTCGAGAATGAGTTGCGGGAGCGCATCATGTACATCATTCAGACGGTGAACGAGAAGCAGAACCACATT